ATTTGTTTTATTGCGGTGTCTGGGTTTTTTCTGGTAGGAGTGATTCGAACATAACCAATCCGTACGCTTTCTCAGGTTCATATTTCGCCAGAGGTCTTTGCTGCCTCGGGGTAATTGAATAGAAGGCAAGAACAGGTAACTGGGGATATCTTTCAAGGATGTTTATTTAAATGAAAACAACCGTACGAAGCTAATGTAGATATTCACCTGTAAACTGCGCATAGACGGCGATACAGTATAGAGATATGTTTGGATGAAGTCATAAGAAATTATCGGTGTTGAAGTGAAAGATCGGTGGTGAATGAAAGAACGGTGATATTTTAAGGTTTAATCATTGATACCGTGTATACAAAAGTACAGCAACAGATGCTTATAGCGTTACATGTACAGCGGCAGTGAATGTCAAAACATAGGATTTTTCTGCTATATCTCCGTAATGATTTCCTCTGTGCGATGTATCCTCATGTACACCCCGCACACGTGCTGTTTCGTGTTACCACACGTCTGGTGTTGAGGAAGACCCTCCTGTGTGTGATCAGGGCTTGCACGCTACACGCTCCAGGTCCATGGTGGAGGTGTGCCAGGTCGACTCCGTGTTTCCGCAGACAGGATGAACACTTGGTGTCACCTAGCCCCAACAGGGCGGCCGTGCTGCACAGGAGCGCCATCTGTGCACGGGATGCGCTAACGATAACCTGCAGAAATAGCTGCAATTGGCTTTTACAACGCCGGTGCGTGTGCATTAGAGGTATTTATAGAATGCCTGCAAGGATTTTGAAAACAAATGGCAAATGCTTGTGGATGTGTATCCTTACACGAGATCAGCTGTTGGGAGCACAGCTGCACGGATAAAACATACTTTACACACGAGGAGGAACTTACGAACACACCTAGTAGTCACAGTGTTATGTATTTCTTACACACGAGGAGGAACTTACGAACAGGCCAAGTAATCACAGTGTTATGTATTTCTTACACACGAGGAGGAACTTACGAACAGGCCAAGTAATCACAGTGTTGTGTATTTCTTACACACGAGGAGGAACTTACGAACACACCTAGTAGTCACAGTGTTATGTATTTCTTACACGCGAGGAGGAACTTACGAACACACCTAGTAGTCACAGTGTTATGTATTTCTTACACACGAGGAGGAACTTACGAACACACCAAGTAGCCACAGTGTTATGTATTTCTTACACACGAGGCGGAACTTACGAACACACCAAGTAGCCACAGTGTTATGTATTTCTTACACACGAGGAGGAACTTACGAACACACCTAATAGTCACAGTGTTATGTATTTCTTACACACGAGGAGGAACTTACGAACACAACAAGTAGTCACAATGTTATGTATTTCTTACACACGAGGAGGAACGTCACGTGTACTTGCAGTGTACTTGCGGAATTAGGAGTTGACCAGTTTTTAATATGTCAGTCAAGATTTGAGAAATGTTATGATCGTAAATGTTAAAATAGCAATGTAACATTAGTTTCTTGTGTGTGTATTTGTTAATTATGCCACAGCTCCTATACACATCCTGGATGCCATATCACAAGAGGCAACTGCGTCATGGTGTAGAAGGAAATGACATGTGCATGTTTTGTTCTTAAACTCAGTGCTCCAACATTCTTGCAATGCCGTATGGCTTCTACATTAATACATCAATGTGATGGAGCATGAACCTGGTAACATCTGTCTTGCTTAGCAAGTCCTTGTGCCTAGGCTTCACGTTACACAAACTCCGATAGGACATCTTCAGTTTCACAGTAAACTTTATACTAGATGTAATTTCAGCATTATTGCAGTACAAAGTGGCTAAGTCTATTGTCGCCTTTGTCTGACCAGACCCACGTGGGCTGCAGGAATGAATGAAATACAATCAAGGATCAGTCTCATGTCGTCAAAGACGCCTCTTGTTTGTGAATGCGTCTACCAGAAAACTACAGGGTCCTATTCAACATACAGATGTTTCTCACATGTAAACTGTAACACATTCCCATGTTAACACCCGAAAGAAACACCAGCATGAGAAATGTTGAGACTTAAAACCCAATGCCATCCTTCGGAGTTGGCAGAGCGGGCTCTTAACTGAGCCTGAAGCAAGTAACACTTAGACTAAGCTGACACAGACAAGCTTAACTGCGCCTAAAGCATGTAACACTTACACTCAGATGGTATAGGGATCACTTAACTTCGCCTAAAGCAAGGTACACTTACACTCAGATGGTATAGGGATCACTTAACTTCGCCTAAAGCAAGTTACACTTACACTCAGATGGTATAGGGATCACTTAACTGCGCCTAAAGCAAGTTACACTTACACTTGTCTGATATAAGCTAACATTGGCAGCACTTAACCGAGCCTGTAGCAAGTAATACTTAATCTAAGCTGACATTGGCAGCACTTAACCGAGCCTGTAGCAAGTAATACTTAATCTAAGCTGACATTGGCAGCACTTAACCGAGCCTGTAGCAAGTAATACTTAATCTAAGCTGACCTTGGCAGCACTTAACCGAGCATGTAGCAAGTAATACTTAATCTAAGCTGACCTTGGCAGCACTTAACCGAGCCTGTAGCAAGTAATACTTAATCTAAGCTGACATTGGCAGCACTTAACCGAGCCTGTAGCAAGTAATACTTAATCTAAGCTGACCTTGGCAGCACTTAACCTAGCCTGTAGCAAGTAATACTTAATCTAAGCTGACATTGGAAGCACTTAACCGATCCTGTAGCAAGTAATACTTAAACTCATCTGACAAAACAAATACGTAGCTAAACATGTAGTCTGGCCTATGTACGTCTGTAGGAGTACTTGACGAGAAACACACACAACTGACATTAAAAGCATCGTCATTCGGTTTGAAACACACTCTTTGCATCGTTAGCCTGACAGTGCATCATGTTTATATTGTGGAGTGCTTGGGAATTGGAAATCCAGCATCTATTGCACAAAGCATCACGCGGTTCTCATCCAGGACAGGCTTGGGAGGCTGATGTGACTGTGATGGTGATTGATCACTCTCAGGGCATAGCTGACTTAATTTGCCATACCCACCAACACTCGCTCTAGGAAAATGAGATAATATTTGTAAACCTACAAGCCCAATAGGATAATGTTTTGAAAATAAGGCTTTATTTTGATTTCCGTTAGATAGAGGAATTGGCCCATTACATGACCAGTTGATCAATGAGTTGTCACAGATGTTGTAAAAACAGCCTCTGGATGAATAACGTTCACATCTAAATATAATCGCATGCTTGCAAAGTTCAACATTTTAATCTTGACATTGCAGACTTGATAACACGGGGATAACCTTTAGAATGCGTGTGGCTTGAATGTGGGGTGTGGGTGGGGTTGATGGGGTGTGGGTGGGGTTGATGGGGTATGGGTGGGGTTGGTGGGCTGGGTTGAGGGGGTATGGTTGGGATTGATCGACTGTGGCTGGGGTTGATGGGGTATGGGTGGGGTTGATGGAGTGTGGCTTGGGTATGGTGAGGTTGATGGGATGTGGATGGGGTTGATGGGGTGTGGGTCGGGTTGATGAGGTGTGGGTGGAGTTGATGAGGTGTGGGTGGGGTTGATGGGGTGTAGGTGAGATTGATGGGGTGTGGGTCGGGTTGATGAGGTGTGGGTGGGGTTGATGGGGTGTGGGTGGGGTTGATGGGGTGTGGGTGGGGTTGATGTGGTTGGGGTGGGGTTGATGGGGTGTGGGTGGGGTTGATGAGGTGTGGGTGGGGTTGATGGGGTGTAGGTGAGATTGATAGGTTGTGGGTGGGGTTGAGGTGGTTGGGGTTGGGTTGATGGGGTGTGGGTGGGGTTGATTGGGTATGGGTGGGGTTGATGTGGTATTGAGAGGTTGACTGGGTGTGGGTGGGGTTGATGAGGTGTGGGCTGGGTTGATGGGGTATGGTTGGGGTTGATGGGGTGTGGTTGGGGTATGGTGAGGTTGATGGGATGTGGGTGGGGTTGATGAGGTGTGGGTGGGGTTGATGTGGTGTGGGTGGGGTTGATGATGTGTGGGTGGGGTTGATGGGGTGTAGGTGAGATTGATTGGGTGTGGGTGGGGTTGATGAGGTGTGGGTGTGGTTGATGGGGTGTAGATGAGATTGATGGGGTGTGGGTTGGGTTGATGTGGTTGGGGTGGGGTTGATGGGGTGTGGGTGGGGTTGATGGGGTATTGAGAGGTTGACTGGGTGTGGGTGGGGTTGATGGGGTCTGGGTGTGGTTGATGGGGTGTAGATGAGATTGATGGGGTGTGGGTGGGGTTGATGAGGTTTGGGTGTGGTTGATGGGGTGTAGATGAGATTGATGGGGTGTGGGTTGGGTTGATGTGGTTGGGGTGGGGTTGATGGGGTGTGGGTGGGGTTGATGGGGTATTGAGAGGTTGACTGGGTGTGGGTGGGGTTGATAGGGTGTGGGTGGCGTTGATGAGGTGTGGTTGGGGTATGGTGAGGTTGATGGGATGTGGGTGAGGTTGATGGGGTGTGGGTGGGGTTGGTGGCCTATGGTGAGGTTGGTGGGGTTGATGGGGTATGGGTGGGATTGGTGAGGTAGGAATTTGGTTGATGAGGTTAGTGGGGTATGGGTGGGGTTGATGGCGTTTGAAGGGGTTGATGTCGTATGGTAGGGGGGTGGGGGGGTGTTGCAAAGGGCTTGATGGACGGGTTGAAATGTGAGAGGTGTATCTGGTTTATAGGGTGGGGATGGTGATCGTGGGTTTTGGGTAAGGTGGGTGGGTGTTATGGTGGGTAATGATGGATAGTGAGGGTGTACAGGGTGGGTAATATGTAGGGTGCAAGGATGATGTTTTCTGAAAACAGCGGCTCTGTTGTTTTGAGATAAAAGTAAAATGTACCAACAAAGTCATGGGATGTGTATATTTAGTTTGGCCTGAAAAGTTGTAGGCATGGAAAAAAGTCTGTGTGAGGTAAACTGTGCTATACATTCCCGCAAATGTCAGCAAAACTGATGAAGTTCTTGTTTGTTTCAGATCTTCGACTGTGACTTCCTCTCGAAGACGGTGAAATATGTCCACAACGGGTCTCCGCTGTTGTACGCTGACGAGGTGAAGCTCCGAGCTCACCGCTTCACACAAACGAGCACTGTCACTGAAACATTCTACCTGCGAGTACGGATAGTGAACGCCTCACACGAGGTGATAGTGACTAGAGGTCTCAGGTCTGTGGTTGTTCCCAAATTCAATGGATTATCCAACACGATAGATTCTTCAGTCATCCGATTCCGGAACAGTGATAATCACAATGTCTCGTGCACCGTTGGTTTTTCCAAGTACCACTCCCACTGGCCCCTTGTGGGGCAGATGGTTATGGGAGCTGATCGACATGCTATTGATGCTGTGAAAAAAGATTGCCGCGAATTTCTTTTCATGCAGCTCCACTACGAGCATTTGCGATCTCCAACACCGGACGTGGATTACCTCCCTTTAACCGTGGAAATATTTGATCCTACACGCAGTGATGAAGTGGTGACTGAAAATTTTTATCTTCCAATTTACATCAAAGGTGCTTTACCTAATTCTCCTCCCAAAAATAAGATGAGCAGCATGAATATGATGGATGTGGATCAGTTCATTCTCACAACAATCATTCCAGGCGTCATATCAGCAGAAGACTATGAGACCCCCAGTGCCCAGCTGGTGTATAACATATCGAGGACGTTTCCCCCAGGACATGGATACCTAGTCAAGAGAGGCGACCATGCCACACCAATCACGTCATTCTTACAGGATGATCTGGAGAACCACAGAATTGCATACCGACCACCCAATGTTAGTTTCTCGGAGCGGCGGATGTACGAGGTGGAGTTTACTGTGTATGATAGCCACTTCTCCAACAGCATGCCCCTGAGGTTCCACGTTGCGGTTCACCCCTCGTCCACCAACGCCCCGCGAGTGGCGCATAACCTTGGCTTGGTCCTTCTGGAAGGTCAGTCGAGAGCAATATCCACAAGCCTCTTGCAAATTGTTGATCGAGACAACCTAGACAGGGTGAAGCTGTATGTGAAAGGGGGATTGCAATACGGGAATATTGAAGTTCATGGCAGTCAATCCATTGTGTTTAGGCCGACGGATTTGCTGAATGGTGGGGTGGTGTATCGTCATGACGACAGTGATTCAACCAAAGATCGCATAGAACTACGTCTCAGCGACGGTTCCAACACCGTGCTCTTCACCTTCCCCATAAGCATCATTCCCAAGGATGACACTCCGCCTCATCTCATCAACAACCTCGGTCTGCAGATCAACGAGGGCGACATGAAGAAGATTAGTGAAGATTTACTTCTAGCCCACGACACCGACTCTTTGGACTCCAACATCATCTTCACCATCCTCTCAACCCCGCAAACTGGAGACATCATCAGGAAGGTCAGGCCATCAGACTCAGGCACCAAGATATTTGGATTCCGGCAACGTGACCTACTGAAAGGTCAGATCTACTACCGGCATTCTGGGAGAGAGGAGTTCAGGGACTCCTTCCGGTTCACGCTCCAGGATCAGCAAGAACCACCAAACGAGTCGGAGCAGTTCGTATTCCACATTCTCATCAACCCCATGAACGAGAACCCTCCGCGACTGGCCCTGGAAGCAACTCGCATATTGTACGTCCCAGAGACGGACATTGCCTACCTCAGCAACACAGAGCTCCAATACACGGACGTGGAGTCTGCGGACAGACAACTCACCTTCACCATCACAACCCCGCCCTATTTTGTGTACAATCGTGGCGAGCGAGATGCAGGGCGACTCATCTCAACCCACAACCTGACGATGATGATGAAGGACGGTTCCACTGCTTCAGCGCAGACCTTCTCCCAGGAAGACATCAACCACATGAAGATAGCCTACATGCCGCCCATGAACGACATCGGCCCAGAGTCCCGACTCATCAGGTTTGTGTACACTGTGGAAGACTCCAGCAGGAACAGACTGTACGGGCAGACATTTGACATTGAGGTCCTACCTGTGAATAACCGCGTTCCGCAGTTTGTCACCTCAAAGTTGTTGGTGGAGGAGGGGGGTATCCTCAGTATTGCGTCCAATCAGTTGTCCGCGAATGATGTAGATACGTCGTCTGAGAAGTTGCGTTTCATGCTGGATGCGTTACCTCGCTATGGCATCATCCAGAAGGGTGGCATCGCTCTGAAGAGGGGAGAAGGTTTCAACATTGCGGACTTGGAGAAGAAGGATATCAGGTAAAAAGTCCTTTTTTGTCAGTTGAACATTACTACGTATGGTGTCTTTAGTTGCCGTATACGGTGTCATATTAGGTTAGTAGCAAAATATTGGGCGAGGCGTGGTTTTTTTCTCTATACAATTTATAAATAAAGTCACGAACGTGGTTCCCTCAATAAATAACATTTTTGCACATCACACTTAATGTTATTAAAACACAAAACAGTGTCAAGTAACGGATTTCTGTACTAGCATTTTCATGTGAAGTATGTGAAGTGGGTGTTGGAAAATCCAAGATGGCTGTTACTGATGGTATACGGTCTCATATTAGGTCAGTCACAACCATCTACATCGGTATACGGGCTCTTATGGGGTTTGTAGTCCTGCTCTCTGATTGGTCAATGTCACTTTGGGGAATAATAATAACAACAATAATAATAATAATGCAAGCTCCGATTTACTACAACAAGCTGTATCTCTAACGCAAACCCAAAGTAAAGATACAGGCTATATCTATCACACACATAACATACTTATTCCTCAATCTGGTAGTCATGTTTTAGCATACGTCAAACCATCTCGATACAATGACAACTATAGTGATAACTGTATGACCATGAAGAGTGTATCGTATCACTGATGCTATATGCATAACACACGTCCCACAGTATACATACATCGTCATATAGAAAACAGCAGACCACCAATTACAGGGAGCTTTTATAATGTCTTCCTGTACACCGTAAGCTTCTGACTGGATGATGTCTTCCGGGGCTGTAGGTACATGCTATCACAACATATGCATCATAGCCAAGTCATTCCTCCATGCTGGCGATGTGATGGTAATCTGAGTCACTGAAAAGCCAGTGCCGGGTAGGCAAAGGGTGATGTATCTGGCAAATCAGGGGATGTTTGAATCATGAAAAGTGAGGGCGCTGTGTGTGTCCAATGATGAAGGTGATGTGAAATGGGGTCTAACGTCGCGTTTAAGATAATTGCGCTTATTAGCGACGTGCATGCAGGTGTTTATGTGGCTGCTTGTACCAGTCTGGACTAACGTCGATATTATAGTGCTAGCACACTGAGATACCATGCCACACTTGAATATGAATACCCCACTCAGACACAGTATACTGACTCCAAACCGATCAGTCCTCATTTTAGACCCTTAATGCCGAGAACGAGAAAGTCCGGGGTTCGATCCCCAGCCGCGCAATAACTAAAGACATTAACAGATGGTTCTTTTGTTACCCTGTCTCGGAATTAAGGGTCTAAAACAAGGACTGGTCGGCTCGGAGTCAGTATACTGAGTCTGGGTGGGGTATTCTTGTTAAACTGCGGCATGGTATCTCTGTGGGCTAGCACTATAAATCTGTGGGCTAGCACTATAAATCGGGATCAGTCCGGCTAGTACAAGCAGCCACACACGCACACACGTCGCTATATAAGTCCAATAATCTTGGACGCGACGTTAAACCCAAATTTCACTTCACCTTACCTTAATGCCGAGCATCAGGCAGGGTAATAACAAGTACCATCTTTTAACGTCTTTTGGTGTGACGCAGCCGGGGATCGAGCCTCCGGCCTTCTGCTCTCCGGGCAGACGCTCTACCACTAGACCACGGAGGCGGACCCCCGGAGGAGAAATAGATAGGACGTTTTAGAACTCCCAAGTACCAGTGAGAACCTCAGTTGATACACCAGCCTCTCTCCATGCTTGTGTCAGATGGTCTTGGTTTCAAACATGTTGAAAAAATGTGTTGTGTAATTCCGCTTGGTTGTATCTCTGATGTGAGATGGCTGTCGGCCACACGGACTCTGTACGGGTGGTGTAGGGTGTCTACCGTGGCGGGAACATGGCGCTCCATCAGATTCCATCCTCTCAGTCCATGAAGAAGCTGTTGATAGATTGCCACATAAATCAATACCACTGTGAATCTTTGCAAAACATAAGAACTGTATGTTAACTCCATGTTTACTACACGAAGAGGTCTGTTCGGCTGAAACAGTTAATCTGTTCAACACTGTTGTTTGGTCTCGATGATGGTCTAGATAAGGACTAGGAAGAAATGCAAAGCAATGGCATTTGATATTCATTTGTCTGGGGTCTATTCTTTTTTTATTTTTTGCTTTTTAGACAATGTGTAGTTTAACTCCATTATGATCCTCTTGTAAGTGAATTGTGAGCAATGGATGATGTGTCTCACGTGATAATATGACAGGGCATCATACGCTCCTTTCATCATCAACACTCCTTTCATCACCAACACTTCTTTCATCTTCAACACTCCTTTCATCATCAACACTCCTTTCATCATCAACATTCCTTTCATCATCAACATTCCATTCATCATCAACACTCCTTTCATCACCAACGCTCCTTTCATCACCAACACTCCTTTCATCACCAACACTTCTTTCATCATCAACACTCCTTTCACCATCAACACTCCTTTCATCACCACCACTCCTTTCATCACCAACACTCCTTTTATCACCAACACTCCTTTCATCACCAACACTCCTTTCATCACCAACTTTTCTTTCATCAACGCTCCTTTCATCACCAACGCTCCTTTCATCCCCAACGCTCCTTTCATCATCAACGCTACTTTCATCACCAACGCTACTTTCATCACCAACGCTACTTTCATCACCAACGCTACTTTCATGACACCATGTTTTCCTTTTTTGGTAATGGAACGTGTGGTAGTTTTGGCCACTGGGCTAAGACAAGGTTAGGTGTCTCATCATGTGTTGTTTTTATTGATTGTAAGATGGAAATTACCACATCCGTCTATTGGTATGTGTAATAACACATAGAGTTTTTTATGTGCACATTTATGACCAATCATTTCCTGAACTATAATAAATCACTAATCCTCTCAACGTGTTAAAGAACTTGGACAACTTTCACGGACAATTTCAGTCTTCAAAGCATCTATAGTAATTACCGTTACACTCAATCTGCGCAATGTACGTGTCCACAGTGTGATGCTCAACGTGTCCACCACGTGTCGCCTCACCGCCTTCTAGATACATATGGTGTTCCTGATTACAAGAATAAGTGGAAGTATGGAGCAGTGGGGAAACATTCAGTTTATTCCATCACAACGTAATGGGCTGAAGGCATGTAATGTTCACTGTGGTAATAAGCCGGATAGAGTTGGCACCAAGTGGGTTGTGTATGTTGTCAGCTGCCAACATTGCTTCATGCCTAATTCAAGCAAGTGTCTCCAGATATTATATAGGGGCGAGGGTTGGGCACATATGTATGTAGATATTATATATAGGTGGTGGGAGACAAATGTCTGTAGATATTATATAGGGGGTGGGGTGGGGGACAATTGTAAGTAGATATTATATAGGGGGTAGGGTGGGGGACATATGTATGTAGATATTATATAGGGGGTGGGGTGGGGGACATGTGTCTGTAGATATTATATAGGGGATGGGGACAAGTGTCTGTAGATATTATATAGGGGATGGGGTGGGGGACAAGTGTATGTAGATAATATATAAGGGTTTGGGTGGGGGACATGTGTCTGTAGATATTATATAGGGAGTGGGGTGGGAGACAAATGTCTGTAGATATTATATAGGGGGTGGGGTGGGGGACAAATGTCTGTAGATATTATATAGGGGTGGGATGAAGGACAAATGTCTGTAGATATTATATAGGGGGTGGGGTGGGGGACAAATGTCTGTAGATATTATATAGGGGTGGGATGAAGGACAAATGTCTGTAGATATTATATAGGGGGTGGGGTGGGGGACAAATGTCTGTAGATATTATACAGGGGGTGGGGTGGGGGACAAATGTCTGTAGATATTATATAGGGGGTGGGGTGGGGGACAAATGTCTGTAGATATTATATAAGGGGTGGGGTGGGGGACAAATGTCTGTAGATATTATATAGGGGGTTGGATGGGGGACAAGTGTATGTAGATATTACATAGGGGGTGGGGTGGGGGACATGTGTCTGTAGATATTATATAAGGAGTGGGGTGGGATGGGGGACAAATGTATGTAGATATTATATAGGGGGTGGGGTGGGGGAAAAATGTATGTAGATATTATATAGGGGATGGGGTTGGGGACAAGTGTCTGTAGATATTATATAGGGGGTGGGGTAGGGGACATGTGTCTGTAGATATAATAGGGGGGGTGGGTGGGGGACATGTGTCTGTAGATATTTTATAAGGGATGGGGACAAGTGTCTGTAGATATTATATAGGGGGTGGGGTGGGCGACAAATGTCTGTAGATATTATATAGGGGGTGGGGTGGGGGACAAATGTATGTAGATATTATATAGGGGGTTGGATGGGGGACAAATGTCTGTAGATATTTTATAGGGGGTTGGATGGGGGACAAATGTCTGTAGATATTATATAGGGGGTGGGGTCGGAGACAAATGTCTGTAGATATTATATAGGGGATGGGGTGGGGGACAAATGTCTGTAGATATTATATAGGGGGTGGGGTGGGGGACAAATGTCTGTAGATATTATATATGGGGTGGGGTGGGGGACAAATGTCTGTAGATATTATATAGGGGTAGGGGTGGGGGACAAATGTCTGTAGATATTATATAAGGGGTGGGGTGGGGGACAAATGTCTGTAGATATAATATAGGGGGTTGGATGGGGGACAAGTGTATGTAGATATTATATAGGGGGTGGGGTGGGGAACATGTGTCTGTAGATATTATATAAGGAGTGGGGTGGGAGACAAATGTATGTAGATATTTTTTAGGGGGTGGGGGACAAGTGTTTTTAGATATTATATAGGGGTTAGGGTGGTGGACAGGTGTCTGTAGATAATATATATTGGTAGGTGTGGGGGAAAAGTGGCTGTAGACATTATGTAGGGAGTGAGTGGTGGTCAAGGGGACAGGTGTCTGTAGATATAGGGTGAGGCAAGGACGTCACTGTCACTGGTCGTGCACCTGTGACTGCAGAGGCTGGGATATTCCGACAGGGTCACATTACAGACAATGATCCAATGATCCCAGGCAACACTACGGAGATAATTAACCCAGTTCTCCGAGCACACATTGACATTATTGACTTTAAGGTCCATAAGATTGTTTCAAACGATTTCATGTCTAATTAGAAGCAGCCCCTTTGTTTTCTGCGAGACTAATAAATCCACAGCATCGAAGACAGCAGCGAAAACAGGGGGCACTGCAGTGAATCGGTTGCAACATGATAAAACAACGATGTAATAATCGACTAAAGCGACAAGCAGACAATGATATAATGATATTGTGATGCCAAGTGTGATGTGGTTGTGTCGGGTTTGTGGCATTGTGATGTGTGACGTATGTTTAAGCTATGGGTTGATTTTGGTGGATGTTTCATGCAGACAGTGACGTGTCGGATGTAGACGGTGACGTGTTGCATGCAGACAGTGACGTGTTGCATGCAGAAAGTGACGTGTTGGATACAGAAAGTGACGTGTTTGATGCAGAAAGTGACGTGTTGCATGCAGACAGTGACGTGTTGCATGCAGATAGTGACGCGTTTGATGCAGATAGTGATGTGTTTCATGCATACAGTGACGTGTCGGATGCAGACAGTGACGTATTGAATGCAGATAGTAACGTGTTTGATGCAGACAGTGACATGTCTGATGCAGACAGTGACGTATTGAATGCAGATAGTGACGTGTTTGATGCAGACAGTGACATGTCGGATGCAAACAGTGACGTATTGAATGCAGACAGTGACGTATTTAATGCAGATAGTGACATGTTTGATGCAAATAGTGACGTGTTTAATGCCGACAGTGACGTGTTTGATGCAAATAGTGACGTGTTTGATGCAGAGTGTGACGTGTTGGATGCAGATAGTGACGTGTTTGATGCAGACAGTGACATGTTTGATGCAAATAGTGACGGGTTTGATGCAGAGTGTGACGTGTTGGATGCAGATAGTGACGGGTTGGATGCAAACAGTGACGGGTTGGATGCAGACAGTGACGGGTTTGATACAGACAGTGACGTTTTGGACGCAAATCGCTTATTTCCAAGCCAAATGTGACGTTGGTCTGCCGGCTATTATGATCAGCTGTGACTGTACCACGTGACATCTGACTCCAGCCAAGACGTAAATCTTCCTTGTTTCAGTAAGTCGTGTTCAGGATGTTATGTTTTGTCTGAAGACAACTCGGTACTACTGTTAAGGAGACGGGGCTGTTTCCAGCGTCAAGTTCAGCTGGAGTGATAGGTGTTCGTGGTTGCGTGAGGGGTTTGGGTATATTTTACGTTTGCTTCAATCTGTAGGCACGTAGTGGCATGATGTGGTTTGACACTGCACATCAACATTTACTTTTAGAACATTGATATATTGCTTCTTTTAATGTAATACACACTTTAGAGTGTAGGCTAAATATAAAAGACACTTTAGAGTGTAGGATATATATTTAAGACACTTTACAGTGTAGGATATATATGTAAGACGCACTTTTGAGTGTAGGACATATGTAAGACACTTCAGGGTGTAAGATATATATGTAAGACACTTGAGGGTGTAGGATATATATATTTATATATATATCATATATATGTAACTTCTTTAACAGTGCGTTGCATGTACAAAGCTCTGGATAAGATTGCATAATGAGAGTTCTTCTTTAAATCTAAAAACAAAGATTCTTCGACATGTCAATGATAACACTAGAATATGCAACACAGGCAAGTTATGTGTTTTTGTCCAATTGTTTGCAGGTACGTGCATGACGGGTCCGAGATTATCCTGGATACTTTCACGCTGAGTGTGTCCGACGGCCTCAACTCTGCCACCAAGGTCATCTCGATCGACATTGTCCCGATTGATGACGAGTCGCCACAAATGACCAACAACCTCCGTCCCTTCCTCATAGTCTCAGAAGGAGGAGACGCCATTGTGACGCAGAGGACGTTGTCCGCCACCGACGTCGACACAGACGAATCGTCTCTGGTGTTCCTCATCGTCAGACAACCCAAATATGGAATCCTCCAACTAGAGGCCCAGCCGGTCACCAAGTTCACCCAGACAGACGTGAAGGAGGGGAAGGTCAGCTACCTACACACCAGCGGAGAGATCGGGATTGCGAAGATTCAGGACGTTGTTACATTCATTGTGTCCGATCAGAACTTCCTCCCGTCCGCAGACATGCCTATGTATGATCTGAACATCACAGTCACACCCGTCAACAACCAGAAGCCCACGATCAGCCTGGGGAACCCCGTGTTTGTGTCTGAAGGCGAGATCTTCAAGATCACCAGCGACATCCTGAGTGTGTCGGACCCAGACTCCAGAACCAAGGATATTGAGTTGATGATCACCAAACAACCTCAGTGGGGCTTCCTGGAAAACACCAAGCCTAGTCCAGGGTCGGAACGAAGCAATGCCGGCGTCCGCATCAACATGTTCAAGTTCCGCGACGTCCTTGACGGCGCCATCAACTACGTACAAGCTAACCATAAGGGCGTGGAGCCAGTGAGGGACGAGTTCAGTTTCTACGCAACAGATGGAAAACTTAACTCCCCTACAGAAAACATTGCCATCACCATCGTCCCAGCTAACGATGAGGTTCCAGATCTGATGTTGAGAGACTTTTCCGTTCCCGAAGGAGGCAGCAAGATGATTGACCAGTCCATGGTGGACGCTATTGACCTGGATATGCCCAAGGACTCCCTCGTCCTGACTGTATCCCAGCGGCCTGAACACGGGAACATGGTGATGATGCTGCGTACACGCAAAGGGGGGGTGGAGACCGACATCCACGACTTCACAATCGATGAACTCCACAGTGGCATGCAGCTGAAGTACGTTCACGACGGATCCGAAACCTTCTCCGACAAGTTCGCCGTGACAGTGTCTGATGGCAAACATGAAATCAAGAGGGTCTGTAATGTCTCCATCAAGTTAAACAATGATGAACGCCCAGAGATTATCAAGAATGCAGGCTTACACCTGGACTATGGAGAGTCTGCTCTCATCTCCAGCGTGGTTCTCCAGGCCACGGATGAGGACAACGGAGATGCGCAGCTGTATTACATCGTTGTCCAACTGCCCAGGAAGGGGTTCCTCCAGTTCTGCCCCGACCCCTTCTCTAACAATCTGGCAGTGGAGTGTCGGGACTTTCAAGAGGGACAAAACTTCACCCAATACGACGTGGATCAGAACAAGATCCGCTACATCCACACCACCAGCATGGGCAGCACCGAGACCGACAGCTTCATGTTCGTCCTCACTGACAACAGATACAAGCGGCCTGAGGAGACATTTGAGATCAGGATAGCCAACTCCAAGAAAGCCAACATTGCCCTGCTGAACCGAGGCATGGCTGTTCGTGAGAGTGAGCGGGTCGCCATCAGCACGTCCAACTTGAGTGCTTCTGATGAAAGTACCAAAGCAGAAGAGATTGTGTTTGCGGTGATCAGAGCCCCTAGACTTGGCCAGATTGAGTACATCGACCGCCCATTCACGCCTATCAGTAGTTTTACACAGTTAGACATAGCATCCCAGAAGGTTGTTTACAACCACCTGACAAAGAACGACATCATTGAGGACTCCTTCACCTTCACTGTCACCAACGGACTCAGTGAAGCCAAGGACGGCGAGTTCAGGATCGTCATCCAGCCTCTGGATCAAGTACTCCCCACTCTCGTGGCCAACAAACTGCTCGAAGTCCTACAGGGCACCGAGGAAATCTTGACCCCACTCCAGCTCAAGGTCACTGACCCAGACACGTCAGCCTTGAACCTCACGTTCGTCATAGCTAAACCTCCAACCTATGGCAAATTGTACAACAGGGGAGTCCCCATCAAGAAGTCTTTCACACAAAATGAAGTAGATCTTGGCTTTGTTACTTACGAGAGTGATGGCACTCGAGCTGGTCTGGATAACTTCCTCTTCAAAGTGAATGATGGCCGACACGAGGGGTTCCTCATTAATGGAACACTTCAGTCGAACCCCGCCATGTCGAGTATCTTCATCAAACCCCTCATCGAGGATGCCCCCAAACTTGTTACAAAGAAGCAACCAAATAACCTGGAATATTTTGGGGGACAGAGGTATGGCTATGTTCTGACAAACCGTATTTTGCGAGTGGTAGACAGCGACACCGAGAGCTCGGGGCTGATTTACGTCATGCTGCAGAAACCGAAACATGGACATATTGAAAACACTGCATCCAAACGATTCGTGAGACGTCGATTCACCCAGCAAGATCTTGATGATGAAAGCTTGATGTACATCATCAACAAGGCGGACAAGTCCACCAATGACAGTTTCACCTTCAAGGTCGAAGACAGTCGAGGCAATGCACTCGAGGACCAGGTGTAAGTAGTCATGGCTTTTATATCCATCAGAAATAAATTAATTGAAACTAATTTTGTAGGTTCTGAATAATTGGATTTGGATCAATCAAATGCTAACATGTATTTGGTTTTTAAAGCTTATCCTATCTTATCTTAGAGGGCACGTGTGCCCAGTCGTCTAAGCCGCCGCAGTTCGCTGTGCAGAGTTGCGTCCCTTGGGCACGCCAGAAACCTATGATTGTTGGTTCGAATCCCGGTTCGCCGCGATTATGTTTCTAGGTTTGTCAGCACCATACCCGTGCTCGCAGGTTTCCTCGAAGTGGTAAACGTCTAATACGGCTGCATCACTTCGGGCTTTCCTCCCACATTAAGCTGACACGCCGTGATATAACTGGAATACTGTTAAAAGCGGCGTTAAACCCAACTCACTCACCACTATCTTATCTTAACTCTATCTTAGCAGTAGATTTTTGTCGAGAAAGTAAAAAATCCTTCACACCGTATCATCTGCAATGTCTGTATCTATTTTATTGCTAGGTTTGAAATGAAGTGGTCTAGAATTGAATTCATAAAGGAGGATGTTGTTGTTTGCGAGAACGTTGGTACGTTGTCCGTGACGTTGCAGAGAACTGGTGCTATTGACCAGTCAGCATTCATTGGAATTAATGTCCGCCAAATGTCGGCGCGGAGAGATGATGACTTCTCGCCAAGTTCAGCAAAACAAGTTCAGTTTGACCCTAGTAAGTTGATTGATGCCTCGCAAATACGATTACAATTCTGACATTGCATTTGTTTTTTACTTACATTAGTTACAATTTTCATTACTATTTTCTTTCAATACAATATTGCAATAAACACAATGTTCATGAAAAAAGGTTATCTCCCTAAGGGACCAGTTCAAAAGTTTGATGTCGGATAAAATCTTAATTCCCTAAGTTGTAGATGGAGGGGTTAACGACCCTGCAAGTTTGCCATCCGACAAAACCAACTGAACTGATTGATCAGTGTTTTTTATACAGTAACTAAGCTAAACCGATCCTATTTTCATTCATGTGTTGTATGAGTTGTCATTAAATACACCAAGTCTTTCCATAAGGCGAGTTTTATCATCGCCGGTAATAGTCTATCTAGTGCAGTGCGTAATATATATCATAAAAGATCATATATTATATATATTACGCACTGCACTAGTTAGACTATATATATGATGGCAGATTTGATCTATAAAATCCCTACAAATGATTGGCAACGCCTAGAAAGTAAACGTCATTCGATAAACGTTCCGAGAAACAACAGAACAAAACACGAGAATGCGTGACAAAAGAGGCCCACTAAATTTCAGAATTGAGTTTTGTGGGGGGTTGGGTATTTATCCGACGTCGAACTTTTGAACTGGTCCCTAAAGTGGTCACCAGTACAACCTTCTAACTTGTATTATGCTTTGAAATACCAGACATTCCGTTAAATAAGAAATACACTGCATACACTACACATTGTGCTGACATATTGTATGGAATGAGGAACCCTTTTAAGCATCTGACTTAACGAGTGTTTGTTTGCCCAGGTAAATCTCAGGCCACATGGGACATTACCATTAAAGATGACGGCATCGAGGAGAACAACGAGAAACTTCGACTCATCCTCACCGACCCCATCAACGCCGTCATTGGAGACCAACGCAAACTACGACTACGGATCATCAACGCTGAACACGGTCAGTAAAACACGCACCTTCTTTAAGGTCAACTTGATTTTGTAAGAGAATCAGTTTTGCATACCGTGTTGCAGGTGTGTTGTGATCAGGTGAGCTACAAGACTTATGTGTGTGTTGTGTTGTTTTCCAGGTGAGCTACAAGACTTATGTGTGTGTGTTGTGATCAGGTGACCTACAAGACTAATGTGTGTGTTATGTTGTTTTCCAGGTGAGCTACAAGACTTATGTGTGTGTTGTGATCAGGTGACATACAAGACTTATGTGTGTGTTATGTTGTTTTCCAGGTGAGCTACAAGACTTATGTGTGTGTTGTGATCTGGTGACATACAAGACTTATGTGTGTGTTGTGTTGCAGTTGAGATACACGACTTATGTGTGCGTTGTGATCAGGTGAGCTACAAGACTTATGTGTGTGGTGTGTTGTGTTGCAGGTGAATGTCCCCAGTACCTGGGAATGGTGAGCAAGAACCGTGGGGAGGACCAGATGACTATTGAGGAGAACATGTTCGTGCCCTCGCGCACCGACGTCAACAGAGACACCATCGTCACAGTGAGTCATACCTGATATTTGTGTCATTGAGAGACGCATGGCATCTGTGTGGGGGAGCGCAGCGCCTGGGGTCAGTCTGCTGTTGATCCAGTAGCCAATCTGTAAACTTTTTATGGGGATAATGCAGCTCTTAATATTAGAAAATTACTATTTTTGTTAATTTGTCTACAAAGTATAACAATACCTGGGATTGTCCGTCACACTCAGTTTCTCACTGAGGTCATACATGAAGTATGAGGTTTTCTGTAAATACTCATTTGAACAAGACAATAAAACACAAACAAGACCTATTTTGCCAAAATGCATGTTTTCATTCCAGTACCACAAAGTGAACAAGTTGGCTCCAGTAAACACGTTCGATAACGCATTCCTAAACACAGAGCCTAAGACGGTAGTTGACAAAGGCGTCGGAACCCAGCCCAAGCCTGCGGGAAAGAAACGGAAACAATCGAAGAAAAATCGCAAAAGGAAAAAGAAGGATAAGAAAAATAGAAAGAATAAGAGAAACCAGTCTACGCCGAAATCCCCTAAGAAGGACCCCAGTCCCAGCTCAGCTCCAGTGAAGGTATATAAATCCAAGGTAGAGAAGTGTGTTGTTGACATACTATCAGGGATAGGTTCAGACAGAGCCTGTTCTTGTCTGGGCTATTGCTAGCCACTAAAGGCTTCAATCCTCATTCTCGCGAGTCTGTTTCATGTCTTGGCAACTTGGTGCAATATATCCCATATTCCCACGATAAATCACATTATAGTACAATGTCTACCATGTTGACAGAACATCAAGAAGTGCACGGCATCAACGAAAGACCTTCTGACGTTCGATAGTTTCAAGCAGCAGCTCCTGAAATGTAACGGCAAAGAATGGCTGGTGTGGACATCCGTCTCCAGCAGTGACGAGCGGCCGCGCAGCAGTCTGTGTCAAGCAGGTCAGTCATGTCACATAGGCGTCAAACATTAAAGGTGATATATGTGTAAAGTAGGTCATTCACGTGACGTAGCGTGCCAATGGATCACAGGATTAATGTGTAAAGTAGGTCATTCACGTGACGTAGCGTGCCAATGGATCACAGGATTAATGTGTCACGACTTTGGTACTGCTTTGTTGGCGCTGGTACATTTGTTTTCAAATATATATATTGGTATCTTGTTGTATTATATTTTCACTTACATATCTAAGATTAGGTAATTGTCAATAATTGTTTCACGTCATATGTAATGTCCTTATAAACAGAGAGAACACGTGACTGCTGACAGCTCTTTCCCCTGTCAACACCCATAGGTAATTGTGCAGGAAGATTATCTGCTGTGGTCAACACACGAGGACATTTTGTGCAGGAAGAATGATCTGCTGTTTCAGGCTGGAGTGAGTACGAGGGCCGATGCTACAAGTTCATGAACGACAAGTTGCCGTGGGACGAGGCGGAACAGCTGTGTTTTTCCTCCTACCAAGCCCACATGACCAGCGTCCACTCCATCAAACATCTCAAGTGGCTGTTTGAGCAGGCAGGCAAGAAGTCCTTCTGGATCGGTCAGTACACATTCTGATACAGGGGTTGTCCTTCTGATTCGGTAAATTCACTTATTCCATCAATACACATTCTGATTATGGGGATGATCTATGTAAATGTAGTCAGTACCCACTCTGATTCTGAAACATACATAAGCTGGTCCACTCACCTACCTCTGCTGTTCCAGGCCTGAACGACAAGCGACAGACAGGCGTGTGGAAGTTTATCAATGGCGACCCGGTGGGAGTGACCAACTGGAAGAATGGCCGACCCCGGGTCAAGAGGATGCTGCACAAGAAAAACTGTGTTGTGGTCAAGAAGCGGATGAAGTGGAGGAACAAGCACTGTGACAAATACAATGCCAGGTTTATCTGTGAACTTAGTGTCAAAGGTCAGCAGGCACGCCAACACAAAAGGTCACGGAAAGGACCTTCTAGGAGACATGTTCGGCGGGACCGCAAAGTCAGGAATGGAGGGGGTTTCTTCTTCGGTTGAAAGTGCAAATATTCGGCCACCAGGCAGCCTGTTAAGCTCAAATATGTATGACTGCCATGAATCAGTTGTAGCCAGTCGGAACCGGCAGTTGGCAGAATAAACTAGTGATGACCAGTTAGACAGATTAGACTTGTTCAAACAAGACGCAACTGGTCCGACCTGTTTTTTTTGGTCTGTCAGGAACTGAGAGTTCAAGGCCAGTACCAGAGCCCAATGTTCAACCTTCATATGCTAGTACAATCTGGATTAACTGCCATACCTGGAGACTGGTGTCAGTTTCAGTGACGTCAGGGTCACAGTCACCGACTTGGAGGGCAGCGTTATGATGTAAAAGTGATGGATTCCTCCCCTGTATTAAATACTAGATGTACATGTACGTTCTGAGAGTTAGCTCACAGTGGCGCTTCCTAGAGTAGGGGCAGCGCTGGCACAACCTGTATACAGCACCCGGCACCAGATTCACAGACAACAATATAAAATACGATCCTCCTTAACCTCTAGTTGTATCCATTATTTGTCTTTGTAAACTTGTAAAGTTCCATTGAGGAAGTGGGATATGTTCTTGGAGCGCTGGGGTTATCGACAACCATGCCTCCAGTGAAGATCATTCGGGAGAAATGTTCAGGAACAAGGATTAAGGAGGAACGCATTCTGTAACGTCGTCAGAGCAAGACCTCCACAAGCCTCCGTTTATTCTTCACTTAGTTTGTAATCCGGTGCCATGTGCTTGTGTACAGATCATGTGACCTACGGCTGCCCACGTGTTTCAGCAGCAGCCATTGTGTCCTATAGTTTTGTATCAAAACAAGATGGTGGCACAGCCGTGTTTACAGAATATTACCTCCACCCAAAGGGGTGGGTTGGGTTTGCTCAGATATTGTACCCGATATTCTCCTGGGTCTTGCTGTCCAGCTAGACCTAAAGCATTAACATAATACAAAGCATAATGAAAGAACAAAGCTCATAGTAGTTTATTGCCATAATCACGAGCTACAAGACCGCACAGCTGTAGAGACTATACAGACGCAGAGAAATGTGGACATTGTCTTTCAAAGCTGACAAAATGGCTTCAGGTTAAGTATTAGCATGTACACTGTATTTCAACTTATCCATCCTAGGTCGTAGTATAGGCAGTCGATGACAAAAACGTTAAGTAAGTTTTCATTAGGTGAGAGGTTGAAAGTATATTCCGGAAACCAATATGTTACTTTGAAATCGGCGAGAATTCTAAATGTCTACGGCAAGATAACATATTTAGTGACCTTTTCAATATTTTTTCCAAGGGTACTGTTGTTATGGCAACTTGATGTTTTATCCAGGAGGTGAATATTGATTGATTGCACACTGATTTTCATCCTTATTCAAACTGCCACGTAGTATTTGAAGCATTGCTTGTTTAAATGTTGTTTATTTAAGAACATGTTGTTTCTTCCGGGCATCGCCTTAGTTCACAGTAAATCCAAAGATAATAACATTTAATCTAGAAGTAATAACCGCCAGAATAGAATTTTTATATAAAACATAATTGCATCTTTGTAGAGCGACGTACTTTGTCATATGAACATATTAATTTGCAAACTTTTCCAGACTTATGGCTTTGACCATCAAAGTTGTTAATTGTATTACATCTAGTGACCTCCTGTGAACTTAAGCGCGATGGCTCCATGGTAAGCAATACATGAGCTATGTGATGACTTGTTTAGATGTAAATATACTGTCCCCATATACTACCTATAGCGGCTCCACAGCGTATATATCCTGTACATAGTTCAACTAGCAAAGTCCTACCACTACACTATGTAATTTAATACATCACATATTACAAATACTGAATCATGTCAATGCAATTGAAAATTTGAATATCCTATTCATTAATATGTAAAAAAATATTCTTTTAATCTTACTAAATCAAGTTGGGAAAGTGAAGACTTGGTAAACATTTCTCTTCCGTGCATTTTCTTCTCTGACATGTGCATATCAGTGTTTTTTATAGGATGTATTTCGTCCAACATATCAACCAATATATTATCGATTATCAATTGAAGAGGACTTTAGACCTGGCCATGCCTTGGTTTCAGCACGTCTTATCAAGCACGTATATAACGAAGTATACACATTTCCAATCGTAGTTTCTACCATATGAACTAATCACGTGTCCAGTGCAGGGTGTGGAGTTGGAGGTGCCCCGTGTGGGGCAAGCCTAGTGCTAATGGTGAAATCCAGTCCCTTTGGGGGCATATTAATATAACATACAGTTTATGAAATAAGGTTGTGTTCAACTTTTATAATTTCTTTTGTACAAATTTGTATATTTGTAGCCATGTTTAGCTGTGTCAGTATTTTTGTCATTCTCTTGTCTGTCACCTTCCTCTCAATAAAAACATCAAAATATGTCCACTTTCTTCAAGCAATGGTTTGTTCAAGTTGAAAAAGGTTGGGTCAGAAACAATCCAGACTGGCCCTACATGATTGTCCTCATTAGTTAACATATTAGACTGGCCCTACCTGATTGCCCTCATTAGTTGACATATTAGACTGGCCCTACCTGATTGCCCTCATTTGTTGACATATTAGACTGGCCCTACATGATTGCCCTCATTAGTTAACATATTAGACTGGCCCTACCTGATTGTCCTCATGAGTTAACATATTAGACTGGCCCTACCTGATTGCCCTCATGAGTTAACATATTAGACTGGCCCTACCTGATTGTCCTCATGAGTTAACATATTAGACTGGCCCTACCTGATTGCCCTCATTAGTTAACATATTTGACTGGCCCTACCAGATTGCCCTCATGAGTTAACATATTAGACTGGCCCTACCTGATTGCCCTCATTAGTTGACATTTTAGACTGGCCCTACCTGATTGCCCTTATTATATAACGTATTAGACTGGCCCTACCTGATTGCCCTCATCAGTTAACATATTAGACTGGCCCTACATGATTGCCCTCATCAGTTAACATATTAGACTGGCCCTACCTGATTGTCCTCATGAGTTAACATATTAGACTGGCCCTACCTGATTGCCCTCATTATATAACGTATTAGACTGGCCCTACCTGATTGCCCTCATCAGTTAACATATTAGACTGGCCCTACCTGATCGCCCTCATTAGTTGACATATTAGACTGGCCCTACCTGATTGCCCACATTTGTTGACATAATAGACTGGCCCTACATGATTGCCCTCATGAGTTAACATATTAGACTGGCCCTACCTGATGCCCTCATTAGTTGACATTTTAGACTGGCCCTACCTGATTGCCCTCATTATATAACGTATTAGACTGGCCCTACCTGATTGCCCTCATCAGTTAACATATTAGACTGGCCCTACCTGATTGCCCTCATCAGTTAACATATTAGACTGGCCCTACCTGATTGTCCTCATGAGTTAACATATTAGACTGGCCCTACATGATTGCCCTCATTAGTTGACATATTAGACTGGCCCTACCTGATTGCCCTCATAAGTTAACATATTAGACTGGCCCTACCTGATTGCCCTCATGAGTTAACATATTAGACTGGCCCTACCTGATTGCCCTCATTAGTTGACATTTTAGACTGGCCCTACCTGATTGCCCTCATTATATAACGTATTAGACTGGCCCTACCTGATTGCCCTCATATGTTAACGTATTAGACTGGCCCAACGTGACTGATGTATCTGTACACCAGTGTCTGCACCAGGGATTGCTCACCTTGTAAATGCGGATTAGTTGCCTTGCTATAGGATCACTGGACTTTCCACCTGTATGTATGTTTTCAGAATACTGGAGCATGCTGGTTAAATAGCCTTGGTATTACTCCTAGATATCTAAAGCTGTAGATGAACTGTAGCACATGATGCGACGACTATGCAGCAGGATGCAGCCTGGCATACTGACATACTATGAAAACGCATAACCGATTTTCGAGTGGAAGAAAAAAACATGAGACATAGCTATGGGTCAAGTGTAATTCTTTAGCTATGGGTCAAGTGTAATTCTTTCTAAATGACATGGTGAATACAGTATTTTGTGTGGCCTCCATCAGCCCTGACACAAGCGTGGATACGTTGGGGCATGGTGTCACAGAGACGAGTGATAAACGCCATTCGAATGTTTCTCCACTCTTGCTGCAAGGCCAAAGTCAAATCTGCAACATTGGCTGCGTTAAAACGTGCGTTTATTGCTCCCCAAACCATGACACTGCCACCGCCATATTTTTCTCACTGTCTGACAATGCATTGACGTAACGTTCACGACGTCGTCGATACACAGTTCCTCTGCCGTAGACAAATGATATGCAATAACGTGACTCGTCAGAAAGCACTACGGAAGAAAAGCTATGGTTGTCCATGCTTTTGGGCAAATTGACGTCGGGCCTGCCGGGGTCGGGGCTGCAACACTTGGCAACGGCTGTCTGTGAGGTTTCTGCCCTGAGCCCAAGAGCACGCTCATTCTAGTAAACTCAGTGGTGACATCGTTCCACATCTCTGCTGTCCTCTTGATGCCGGTGCCTTGTAGCATCCGACTCCAGGGACTGCATGTTCATTTGTATTTTGAGGAACAGTTTGCTCTGGCAATTTTGATGAGGGAAGATTTGTTTTCGTAAGCTTGTCCGCTTCCAGAAACACCAAACGGGATTTGACATCCGACAACGGGCCCAACATACGCCCTTCTGTTGCATTTCAAACTTTCACCAGTTCATTAATATTTGTTTTCATAGTTTGTCTGTATATATGCACCACAACAATTTTTAAACGCAATGTTGTCATCAACTACTGGTACCCGGGTATAAATGATGCCCCCCCTTTTCACCCCAACGCTCATGGCTGTTACAGCTATCATCAAGAAGGAAGAATACTAAGTGTAAAGTCAAATCACAACAAATATCAACTTCTCCGTCACAACAATGTTTTTTTTGCAACTACGGAGTTTATTTTACAGAATTTACGTTTTCCAAACATGAACGCAGGGGAGCGGACTGAAGGCCATATACACCTCACAGAAGGCCATATACATCCCACTGAAGGCCATATACACCTCACAGAAGGCCAAATACATCCCAATGACGGCCATATACACCTCACAGAAGGCCGTATACATCCCCATGAAGGCCATATACACCTCACAGAAGGCCATATACATCCCAATGAAGGCCATATACACCTCACAGAAGGCCATATACATCCAACTGAAGGCCATATACACCTCACAGAAGGCCATATTCATCCCAATGAAGGACATATACACCTCACAGAAGGCCATATACATCCCAATGAAGGCCATATACATCCCAATGAAGGCCATATACATCCCACTGAAGGCCATATACACCTCACAGAAGGCCATATACATCCCACTGAAGGCCATATACATCCCAATGAAGGCCATATACATCCCAATGAAGGCCATATACATCCCACTTAAGGCCATATACACCTCACAGAAGGCCATATACACCTCACAGAAGGCCATATACATCCAACTGAAGGCCATATACACCTCACAGAAGGCCATATACATCCCAATGAAGGCCATATACACCTCACAGAAGGCCATATACATCCCAATGAAGGCCATATACACCTCAAAGAAGGCCATATTCATCCCAATGAAGGACATATACACCTCACAGAAGGCCATATACATCCCAATGAAGGCCATATACATCCCAATGAAGGCCATATACATCCCACTGAAGGCCATATACACCTCACAGAAGGCCATATACATCCCAATGAAGGCCATATACATCCCACTGAAGGCCATATACATCCCAATGAAGGCCATATACATCCCACTTAAGGCCATATACATCCCACTTAAGGCCATATACACCTCACAGAAGGCCATATACATCTCACAGAAGGCCATATACATCCCCATGAAGGCCATATACACCTCACAGAAGGCCATATACATCCAACTGAAGGCCATATACACCTCACAGAAGGCCATATACATCCCACTGAAGGCCATATACACCTCACAGAAGGCCATATACATCCCACTGAAGGCCATATACATCCCACTGAAGGCCGTATACATCCCAATGAAGGCCATTTACATCCCACTAAAGGCCATATACACCAAACTGAAGGCCATATACATCCCAATGAAGGCCATATACATCCCACTAAAGGCCATATACATCCCACTGAAGGCCATATACACCTCACAGAAGGCCATATACATCCCACTGAAGGCCATATACATCCAACTGAAGGCCGTATACATCCCAATGAAGGCCATTTACATCCCACTGAAGGCCATATACACCAAACTGAAGGCCATATACATCCCAATGAAGGCCATATACATCCCACTAAAGGCCATATACATCCAACTGAAGGTCGTATACACCTCACTGAAGGTCATATACCCCTTAATGAAGGCCATGTACATCCAACTGAAGGCTATATACATTCCACTGAAGGCCATATACACCTTACTGAAGGCCATATGTACCTCACTGAAGGCCATACACATCCAACTGAAGGTTATATACATCCCACTGGAGATCATATATACCTTACTGAAGCCCATATATACCCCACTGAAGGCAATATATACCTCACTGAAGGCCATAAACACCTTACTGAAGGCCATATATACCTCACTGAAGGCAATATATACCTCACTGAAGGCTATAAACATCTTACTGGTGGACATATACTGAAATGGTTCATACAGAAAGACTTGATGCAAGTCTTACTACACTATTTAAAGGATGGGTCGTGTTTAAACCAATACATCCGACTGGCCAACACACAATAAATATGTTACAAATCTTGATATGTATAATAATACAATGTCTTACAACACAAAAACTGAACCACGACCAATACCTACCTAAAAAAACATGCCACAGTTGCTCCGAACTTAAACAGTGAGTGAGTGAGTGAGTGAGTGAAATTGGGTTCAAAACCGCCTTTCCCTCATCATCCATCCAGTGCATCGGATCTCCATTCTAGTAGCCTATGCACTGGAAACACTCGACACCACGCATTTGTTGTGAGTCGGGTTCGATTGAAACAACGTCACAGCTAGACGTTCAATTAAATGACACATTTTTTTATGATTGAAACAATCAGTAATCGACTTCACATTTGCGTGCCACCAACAAAAACTCTTAATACTCACAGAAACAACCCAGCTAAACCTTCCTTCAGTCTTATGATTCAATTTAATACATGGAGGACTCGATCGGACGAGGTCACGACTTTGAGTGTTAATTTATGCAGAACTAACGTTCAGAAGAGATCGTCTGACTGGCTGTTCGATTTTAAAATCACGAGCGAGAGAACAAAACTTTGGTGTCGAATATGTCCAGAGGAACTATCAGAACAGAATCGAGATTGTAACCCATTGGTAACAGAGTATTCCGCTACCCTACTGACCAAAGTGAAGCAGTTCTTCGATGATCATGATCAGCGTATCCTGACATTTGTAAGGGACCCAACTCTGCAGTGAACTGTAAGTCCGAGGTATGTTGCTTGTGTTATTTCATGTTGACCAGACACCACGTGACCGGAAATGATATTCAATATAATGGTAAAACAAACCATTTGTGTAAACATTTAAATTGATCTGAATATATATAGTTCCTCTGGTCTAATAAAAGAAATCCTTTATAATCACAACACGATAAACCTACATCAGCGGCCTCTTGTGCCAATGGTTTCAATATATACACACAGGCATTAACCTCTCAAGGAGCGGTGATTACTCAATGAGACAAGAAGATCGGCTGGGATGTCCCAGGACGAACTTGTAGTCATGTCTTATTCGTCCAAACAGTAGAACATTTAATGACCATATCGTGAACATTTGCAAGTCGATTTGTTTTGTTTACAAATAGTGACAAATTCTGAAATCGTATTTTGAATTCCGACACTTTCTGAATACTAAGTACAGATACTGTACACCTTATTGTTGAAGACTGGACGCTACATTGACTAAATACAAATACTGTACACCTCGCTGTACTATGACATCAGGCACTGTACACCATCTTCTGAAAAGCACCTCTTGTGCCATCTAAGTCAATAAAGTTTGTGTTTGAAACAGGCATGTCTTGGCCAAACACACACACCAGTCGTTATTCCGAGCAGGACGAACACCGCTCTCTCCGGACTGAGGACCATACAACACTGTCTGAGTGCTGATCCTGACTTCAAACCACATCTTCTCCCTCAAACCGGTTCTGTTTCAAAAGAAAGAACTCTTCTCGGAAAACAATTTCGTTACTGAGTTCTTAAAATCTCATCTGGAAAATATTTGAACCAGTTTCGTTTCTGAGATTTATAAACCTCAGCTGAAATTTAACCAATTTTGTTCTTGAGGGCAGAGCAAGTCTTGCAGCACATCTTCTGGAAGTATTCCCGGTCACAGAACTGGAACTTGAGGACGAGTGGACAGTAGGCTACCTTGTATTTGTCCTCGCACACTGCAAACACGGGCATCGCCATTACAAAACGTCAACAAAAACACAAATGTCGCAATTATATAATGTAAATATATACACTCGCCATTATATAACGTCAAAATAAACACGGGCATCGCAATTATATAACGTCAATATAAACACGGGCATCGCAATTATATAACGTCAATATACACTCTGACGTCGCCCTTATATAACGTCAACATAATCACAGACTAGCCATTATATAACGTCAAAATAAACACAGACGCCGTCATTCTATAACGTCAATATAAACACTCCTCATTATATAACGTCAAATATAAACACGGGCGTGTCATTATATAACGTCAATATGTACACGAGCGTTGCCATTATGTAACGTCAACATAAACACACGCGTCATTACACAACTGAAATATAAACACGGGCTTCGCCATTACATTAAATAAATATAAACACAGGCATCGCCATTATATAACGTCAATATAAACACAGACGTCACCATTATATAACGTCAATATAAGCACTCGCCATAATATAACGTCAATATAAACACGGGCATCGCCATTATATAAAGTCAATATAAATACAGACGTCCCCATTATATAACGTCAAGATAAACACAGGCATCGCCATTATGTAACGTCAATATAAACACGGGAGGCCCTTTTATGTTGTCATTTTCCGAATGACATCGACATTAACCATGACCATTTATAAAACTTATACATCAATCTTTAATCAACAGTAAAATATTATATATCTGCCTCGGATCAACATTCGATCTATACCGTTAAATATTTATGGAGTCTTAGTATATTCAGAGTGTTTGAACTCTTTACTGCAAGGCGACGCCTCGTGCTGTTTCGATATGGTGTTCGACTCTTGACCTTTAAGCATGAACTTTCTGTGGCCAGCATGTTGCGAAAGATCAACACTCAATTGTAAGGCGACTGGGTAAGAGTGTCGGTAATCACACTATCAACCACCTGTCTGCCTGGGGCAGACACACAACTGACCGTCCAACCCTACCTACAATGCTGGTTATCACGGCTCCCTCCTGTACGGTTTAAAAAACGTCTCATGCAAAAGTGCGTCACATGAAAACAGTCGATATTTACGCTATAGATATCCACGTCCGTTATATGAAGGGAGTCCTTATTTACGGTATAGATATCAACGTCCGTTATATGTAGGGAGTCCTTATTTACCGTATAGATATCAACGTCCGTTATATTAAGGGAGTCCTTATTTAATGTATATATATAAACGTTCGTTATATGAAGAGAGTCGCTGTTTAGGGTATAGATATCCACGTCCGCTATATGAAGGGAGTCGTTATTTACGGGTTAGATATCCACGTCCGCTATATGAAGGGAATCGTTATTTACGGGTTAGATATCCACGTGTTCTTACCGTCCTCGTCCTCCGGCTTGCAGCTACTGTCACACCGTCTCACTGTGTCCGGCTTCGTCTTGACCGTGCACTTGCTGCTGGTTTGTCCGGAGAAGGCGCGACATTGCGCGTTACGTCTCTGCTGACCCGGCCCACACTCCGGGGAACACTACAACAACACCGTGGACGTGTACGACATCGCGGTTGTGATATTTCATAATATGTACAGTTTTCATAATATGTACAGTTAGGTATGAAACATCGCCCGCTATAGATTTCTCTTTCACGAAGGGTTAACACGGAGCCCAGTGGTGTAAGCTACAGCCACCCCCTGAAGAGAGCCGTGTACAGGTTCCAAAAGTTCGAATCCGAAATCCACTCGTGAACAATTCATTGCCTTGGCTTTTGACATGAAGAGAATAATCTTTATAGATAAAATACATACAATTTCAATTTCATAAAAGAAATGGTTTGAGTAGAGAATGTAGAGCATCACTGGATGAGTTAACCTCCATTTGAAAGACCACAGCGTTGTAAAATTTTACCACAGCACATAGTAAATTTGGATCCGAACGACAATTTCAATATGGCTGCCGTTACGACCATGGCAAAAAATGAAATCTGATTTTAGTGAACGATAAACGACTAATTTTGAGAAGACGCAAAGAATGCGGAGTAAAGAATTCAAACGACATTTTCAATATGGCTGCCCATTCGTCACCACTCGCCCCTTTCCGTAACCTGCTATTCGGCTTGTCCCGAAATAACACGAGTTGATCACGAACGTATGGCTGCCGTTACGGCCATGTTTTGCTCACTCAAATCCGATTTAATTTTAAACATGGCCGTAACGGCACCCATACATTCGTGATCAACTCGTGTTATTCCGGGACATAACTCAGACTAAAAGCGGGAAGGTGTGGGGTGGGGTGGAGAAGACCGAACATAGCTCAATTGAACATACGGTTCAGTCGTCAAGATACAGGTAAACTAACACCCCCATCCCCTTCCCCTTCCCACTCCCCACACCATGGCGCTCACCGGTCCCCACTCGCCCGTCACCCACTGAGGCGGGGGGCATTTCTGGTTGATGCACGCCATCCTCGTGGATGGCTTCTCCGCGGCGTCACAGTTGTCCTCGTCGACGTACGTCTTCCCATCAGTCGTCATACAGAACACACGGCGAGTCTTCTCGCCCGGCCCGCAGCTGGGGTTACACTACAAGCACCATTGGAACACGTTACAAGCAACAACTACCCAGGGGCAGATGTAATGGATGTATATGTAGTATATATGTTTACTCCTTACTCCTTCAATAAGAGGCAAATTAACATTTGCAGGAGGAGCCCTGCCCCTTAACATTTTGACCAATAGCTTTCCTTACTGGATATACAAACTATATTTTCTACTTGAAGTATTAATACCACATCTTCTAGTTTCACGTTGGTAAAACTGACCCTTTTTGTTGAATAATTGTCTGATATGGATAATACCTGTATGTTTCTATTCTTCATCATAAATACTTTTCCTTATACTTTTTTTGTTATTCCAAATAATCTCATTGTATATATCAATATGGTTTTCCAAAAGAGAATATGGTGCCTCCCGCCGTGATATTGCTGGAATATTGCTAAAAGCGGCGTCAAACCATACTCACTCACTCCAAAAGAGACGTCCATATATTTAAAATTCATTTGTAAAAAAGTGGAAGTATAACCTTCAATTGGGATAAATCAAAATTAGATTCCAACTAAAACTGCCGTGAACCTACATATTCATATGTGTTGTCCTCCAACGTCCCTCCCTCAAATCTCCTTCACCCCCCCCCCCCCTCACCTCCGCCCACTCCTCCGTGAACCAGACCGACGGACATTCCTTGCTGCCGCACTTCTTCTGAGACACGGGTTTTTTGGCCTTACACTCGGAGTCGTCCTGCACCACCTGCTCCGTCTCCGTCACACTTTGCACACATGCCACGGTGCGGGTCTTCCTTCCCCCGCCACAGGTCGTCGTGCAGTCGGACCACAGGCCTATGGACCACCTGGAATAAGACAAGATGATATTAACACTCGACCCACAGTCGAAGTACAGACCTATGGACCACCTGGAGTAAGACAAGATGATATTAACACTCGACCCACTGTCGAAGTACAGACCTATGGACCACCTGGAGAAAGACAAGATGATATTAACACTCAACCCACAGTCGAAGTACAGACCTATGGACCACCTGGAGTAAGACAAGATGATATTAACACTCGACCCACTGTCGAATTACAGGCCTATGGACCACCTGGAATAAGACAAGATGATATTAACACTCGACCCACAGTCGAAGTACAGACCTATGGACCACCTGGAGTAAGACAAGATGATATTAACACTCGACCCACTGTCGAATTACAGGCCTATGGACCACCTGGAGTAAGACAAGATGATATTAACACTCGACCCACAGTCGAAGTACAGACCTATGGACCACCTGGAGTAAGACAAGATGATATTAACACTCGACCCACTGTCGAATTACAGGCCTATGGACCACCTGGAATAAGACAAGATGATTTTAACACTCAACCCACAGTCGAAGTACAGACCTATGGACCACCTGGAGTAAGACAAGATGATATTAACACTCGACCCACAGTCGAAGTACAGACCTATGGACCACCTGCAGTAAGACAAGATGATATTAACACTCGACCCACTGTCGAATTACAGGCCTATGGACCACCTGGAATAAGACAAGATGATTTTAACACTCAACCCACAGTCGAAGTACAGACCTATGGACCACCTGGAGTAAGACAAGATGATATTAACACTCGACCCACTGTCGAATTACAGGCCTATGGACCACCTGGAGTAAGACAAGATGATATTAACACTCGACCCACTGTCGAAGTACAGACCTATGGACCACCTGCAGTAAGACAAGATGATATTAACACTCAACCCACTGTCGAATTACAGGCCTATGGACAACCTGGAGTAAGACAAGATGATATCAACACTCGACCCACAGTCGAATTACAGGCCTATTGACCACCTGGAGAAAGACAAGATGATATTAACACTCGACCTACAGTCGAATTACAGGCCTATTGACCACCTGGAGAAAGACAAGATGATATTAACACTCGACCTACAGTCGAATTACAGGCCTATTGACCACCTGGAGAAAGACAAGATGATATTAACACTCGACCTACAGTCGAATTACAGGCCTATGGACCACCTGAAGTAAGACAAGATGATATTAACACTCGACCCACAGCCGAATTACAGGCCTATGGACCACCTGGAGTAAGACAAGATGATATTAACACTCGATCCACAACCAAATAACAGGCCTATTGACCACCTGGAGAAAGACAAGATGATATTAACACTCGACCTACAGTCTAATTACAGGCCTATTGACCACCTGGAGAAAGACAAGATGATATTAACACTCGACCTACAGTCGAATTACAGGCCTATGGACCACCTGAAGTAAGACAAGATGATATTAACACTCAACCCACAGCCGAATTACAGGCCTATGGACCACCTGGAGTAAGACAAGATGATATTAACACTCGATCCACAACCAAATAACAGGCCTATGGACCACCTGGAGTAAGAAAAGATGATATCAACACTCGACCTACAGTCGAATTACAGGCCTATGGACCACCTGGAGTAAGACAAGATGATATTAACACTCGACCCACAGTCGAATTACAGGCCTATGGACCACCTGGAGTAAGACAAGATGATATTAACACTCGACCCACAACCAAATTACAGGCCCATGGACCACCTGGAGTAAGACAAGATGATATCAACACTCGACCCACAACCAAATAACAGGCCTATGGACCACCTGGAGTAAGACAAGATGATATCAACACTCAACCCACAACCAAATAACAGGCCTATGGACCACCTGGAGTAAGACAAGATGATATCAACACTCGACCCACAACCAAATAACAGGCCTATGGACCACCTGGAGCAAGACAAGATGATATTAACACTCGACCCACGGTCGAATCATAGGCCTATGGACCACCTGGAGTAAGACAAGATGACTTTAACACTCGACCCACAGCCGAATTACAGGCCCATGGACCACCTGGAGTAAGACAAGATGATATTAACACTCGACCTACAGTCGAATTACAGGCCCTTTGACCACCTGGAGGAAGCAAAGAATATATACTGAACCGCAAAAGAAACGTTCCCCAAAGTAACATTGCATGAAAAGTTGTCATTTAAATATCTGGGTAATTTTTGTCAAAGTTTCTAAAATTTAATATTACCTCGTCCGGACAAAATGAAATTTGATGATAAAAAAACAAAGCAGATGACAATAAAACCGATCGCCTAAACGCATCACGGCAACGGTCATGGTAACCCGATGCACGTGAGTTCCATACAAACTGAAATGCACATGCGTTCCCCCATTTATTGCCCTATATAAATCCCACCAGATAGGATAACATTCATTTGTTATTGAATTGCTACCACATGCCAAGATTGACAAGAAATCAGCGACACCAAGCCCTTGGAAGATTGCAAGCTTGACAAACCGCCCGGCAAGTAGCCAATGCATTTCAAGTCCCCGTAAGAACCATATGCAGGCTCCAGCAACGGTACCAGACCACCAATACTACAGATGACCGACCGCGTATTGGAAGACCAGGGGTCATCACCCGACGTCAGGATCGTCAGATTGTGCGACAGCATCTTCAAGCTCGCTTTGTTACTGCAGCGGAAACTGCTCGACAGACCATGGGGACATACCAGCGACACATTAGTGCGGACACCGTGCGTCGATGATTGACGAGCAGACACCTCCACTGTCACAGGCCACACCGAGGACCCATTCTGACACCACGTAATCGTCGGGTCCGTCTTCAGTGGGCAACACAGCACCAGCATTGGCGCCACCAGCAGTGGAGAAGAGTCCTCTTCTCAGACGTGAGCCATTACTGTATCTCAACAGCAGATGGCAGAGAGAGTCTGGCTACGCCGTGGGGAACGTTATTCGGATGCTTGTGTTGTTGAGAGAGACTCGTGGGGTGGTCCGAGCATCATTGTGTGGGGATGGAATTGGTCTTGCACAGAGGGTCAGCCCTATGGTCTTCCAGAACATCGGTCCTGGGAGAGGCAATGGTGTCACAGCAGCTCGGGTACATTGATCAAGTCTTGAGACCACACGCCATACCTCATTTGGCACGTCGCCGCAACCACGAGTTTCAGCATAACGCCTGTGCCCACACTGCGAGAGCAATAAGACACTTCCTCCAGCAGAATCACATCATGAACTGCGTCAGGCGTTTCTCAGAGTATGGGCTCAAGTGCCATTCAATCTATAGACGCTGAACGGCAGTAATCAATGCACATGGCGGACACACGAGATACTGACTTGTGATGCCATTTTCTCAGAGACTAGTGTTGTGTTTTACTTTAAGAACATTTGACACTTTAATTTCAACCTTGATGATCAGTTTTGCCAAGTTTCATCTTTTTAATATGATTCAAAGTATGTTTACAGTGTTTGGACAAGTAAGGTTTCTCATATATATATCCATGGTGACGTTTCTTTTGTGGTTCAGTATATGAACAGTTGACCACCAGTCATCCAAGAATTACCCCACTTTGAAGCAACAATCTAACATGGTTACCCCATAGTGAACCAACAGTAGGCTAAATGCCTACAGACTACATTGCGGGTGACAAGACACGTGACCAAAAGTCATCATACATTGTCCACATCGCTCAATGGACACGATCTAGTAAATATCGAAAAATCTTAGATAATTAGCCTTCGTGGAGTTGGGTAGGAGGGACTCGCCTCACAGTCGGAGAACAGGCCCAAGGATGATCAGAAAGAAGACATGGTATAACAACCACAGTCACCTAGCAGTCAAACCACAGTCACCTCACAGTCACCTCACAGTCACCTCACAGTCACCTCACAGTCACACCACAGTCACCCCACAGTCACCTCACAGTCATATCAAAGTCACACCACAGTCACCTCACAGTCACCTCACAGTCACACCACATTCACCTCATAGTCACACCACAGTCACACCAGTCACACCACAGTCACCTCACAGTCACACTACCGTCGCTTCACAATCACACCACAGTCACCTCACATTCACCTCATAGTCACACCACTGTCACTTCACAGTCACACCAGTCACACCACAGTCACCTCACAGTCACACCACAGTCGCTTCACAATCACACCACAGTCACCTCACAGTCGGACCACAGTCACCTCACAGTCACCTCACAGTCACCCCACAGTCACCTCACAGTCACCTCACAGCCGGACTACAGGCACAAGGACGATCTGAAGTGACAGCATGACGTACTGTGTGGGACAGGCCTCCTCGTTGCAGTACTTCCGGTGGTTGCTGGGTCGAGGCTGGGGGGAGCAGTAGCCCTCGTCCACGGGGACCTTGTCCACCTTCCTCACACACGTCGACACCGCCGTGCTCACACCTGCATCGACGACACAAACAACAACAGCTACAGGCGATGTTCCAAGTAAAGCATAGTAATTAAACAGTCCTGCTGCAACAGTTAGATCCTTTTCACGCATAACACAAGCCACCTGTTCCCTACAAGACTGGCGTTAATCTGTAATACATTTGTGATGTTACTCCATCAGTCAGCTATGCCCAGTGTTACTCGGGTGTGGTGTTACTCATGTGTAGTGTTACTCAGGTCTAGTGTTACTCAGATATGGTGTTACTCAGGCATGGTGTTTCTAAGGTGTGGTGTTACTCAGGCATGGTGTTACTCAGGTGTGGTGTTACTCAGATCTGGTGTTATTCAGGTGTGGTGTTACTCAGGTGTGGTGTTACTCAGGTCTGGTGTTCCTCGGGTGTGGTGTTACTCAGACCAGCGTTACTCAGGTGTGGTGTTACTCAGGTGTGGTGTTACTCAGGTGTGGTGTTACTCGGGTGTGGTGTTACTCGGGTGTGGTGTTACTTAGGTGTGGTGTTACTCAGATCTGGTGTTACTCGGGTGTGGTGTTACTCAGGTGTGGTGTTACTCAGATCTGGTGTTACTCATGTGTGGTGTTACTCAGGTCTGGTGTTCCTCGGATGTGGTGTTACTCAGACCAGCGTTACTCAGGTGTGGTGTTACTCAGGTGTGGTGTTACTCAGATCTGGTGTTACTCAGGTGTAGTTTTACACAGGTGTGGTGTTACTCAGGTGTGGTGTTACTCAGATCTGGTGTTACTCGGGTGTGGTGTTACTCAGGTGTAATGTTACTCAGATATGTTGTTACTCAGGTATGGTGTTACTCAGGTGTGGTTTTCCCTCAGACCTAGTGTTACTCAGGTATGGTGTTACTAAGATGTGGTGTTACTCAGATCTGGTGTTACTCGGGTGTGGTGTGACTCAGGTGTGGTGTTACTCCGATCTGGTGTTACTCAGGTGTAGTTTTACACAGATGTAGTGTTACTCAGGTGTGGTGTTACTCAGATCTGGTGTTAATCAGGTGTGGTGTCACTCAGACCTGGTGTTACTCAGGTGTGGTGTTACTTAGATCTGGTGTTACTCAGACCTGGTGTTACTCAGGTGTGGTGCTACTCAGACCTGGTGTTACTCAGGTGTGGTGTTACTTAGATCTGGTGTTACTCAGACCTGGTGTTACTCAGGTGTGGTGTTACTCAGATCTGGTGTTACTCAGACCTGGTGTTACTCAGACCTGGTGTTACTCAGACCTGGTTTTACTCAGATCTGGTGTTTCTCAGATGTGGTTTTACTATGGTTTTACTCAGTCCTGGTGTTACTCAGATGTGGTGTTACTCAGATGTGGTGTTACTCAGATCTGGTGTTACTCGGGTGTGGTGTTACTCAGGTGTAATGTTACTCAGATATGGTGTTACTCAGATATGGTGTTACTCAGGTGTGGTTTTCCCTCAGACCCAGTGTTACTCAGGTGTGGTTTTCCCTCAGACCTAGTGTTGCTCAGGTGTGTCCAGACATGGCCGGATGTGGTGCTACTCGCGTGTGGCAGATGTGACCAAGTGTGATGCTGTTCTAACCTCTGGCGCATGTCCTGGAGCAGGTGGTCCAGGGGGAGTGGTGCCAGGTGTACAGGGAGATGTCGTGGCTGCTGTGGCTGGTGTTAACGGGGACGTTGTATTCATACTCTAGACCCAAGTTGTCTTCCTGCAGCAGCATCTGTAACGACAGCACTGGTGAAGATGAAACAGATATGTACTTTTCTCTTATTCACAATCATTCAGCACCTCACATCTACCTAACATGGCCTTAAGTTTCCAACACGACTTCACGGTTCTAACACGACACCAAGGTTTTAACACGACACCAAGGTTCTAACACGACTGTTATGCTAGAGTCTAACGCTCTATCAAGACTCTAATGTTCTAGCAAGACTTCCACGTACTATGGACCCTGCACCCACCATGATGACGAGATCCTCGCTGGTCGGCCCCAGCGCCCACAACGACTCCAACCCCTCCTCGCTTCTCTCCGGCCGCTCATAGTGGAACACCGTCCCGGCGATCAGAAACTTTCTCGGCCAGTCGATGATCCAGTCGCCGTTGATGTGGTACTTGTCCTTCATGTTCTTCATGGCTGAAGAGAAAGTGATTTTCGACGACCAGTTTATTGCACTACAATGGCGGCGTGTAAGGTATCACTGTCTAAGGCGCACCGCTCTTGAATGTTTCCCAGTCCTTGCCCGGAAACACGAGCCTAGATCATGGACATGGATCATTGACATAGATCATGGACATAGATCATGGACATAGATCATGGTCATAGATCATGAACATAGATCATGGACATAGATCATGGACACAGATCATGGACATAGATCATGGACATGGATCATGGACATGGATCATGGACACAAATCATAGACATGGATCATGGACATAGATCATGGACATAGATCATGGACACAGATCAGGGACATGGATCATGGACATGGATCATGGACACAAATCATGGACATGGATCATGGACATGGATCATGGACACAGATCATGGACATAGATCATGGACATGGATCATGGACATAGATCATGGACATGGATCATGGACATGGATCATGGACACAGATCATGGACATAGATCATGGACATGGATCATGGACATAGATCATGGACATGGATCATGGACATGGATCATGGACATAGATCATGGACATGGATCATGGACACAAATCATAGATATGGATCATGGACATAGATCATGGACATAGATCATGGACATAGATCATGGACACGGATCATGGACATAGATCATGGACATGGATCGTGGACATGGATCATGGACATAGATCATGGACATGGATCATGGACACAAATCATAGACATGGATCATGGACATAGGTCATGGACATAGATCATGGACATAGATCATGGACACAGATCATGGACATAGATCATGGACACAAATCATGGACACAGATCATGGACATGGCAAGTGGATGTTAAGCCAAGCAGCTGTGCCCGTTACCTTGCTCCCTGTAGCAAGGTGGCTTAAGAATCCCATCCCTAGAGATGTATACAGAAGCTCCATTGTTGACTAGTTACTTCCTCTTTGGAGCCTAAACCCATTGCCTTACACTTTAGCAAACAGTTCGCCAAAACAGAAATACGTCTTCCAAAGAGTTAGTTTCCAAACAGTACACATGGCCATTTTCTTCTCCCGTGACAGCGTGGTCACTATGTACACATGTCTGGAGTGTTAAGGCTGCAGCCTCACCAAATATACAGGTGCACATGCCTGCGGTGTGTTATTCAAGGGCAATTAAATGTGATATTTATGTTTGTTATTTAGAAACTGCACCTGACCCCGATATCTGTATATATTTTAACTTGAGTTATGCGGCTTGTTGGTTGCACGTTAATCATGCAGCCATGGCTTCAGGATTAACTTCAAAACTGTGTGTCAGTTATATTTGACTCACCCAAATAATTCTTGGACTGTCGTGTCTCCCTCACTCGAACATGGACTGCTCCTTGTGGAATGGTAACCACTTCCTGGTAGGCTGGTACAACAGAAATAAACAGGTTCTTAGCATCTCCATACAACAGCAACAAACACCTTCTTAGTATCTCAAAACAACAGCAACAAACACCTTCTTAGTATCTCAATACAACAGCAACAAACGCCTTAGCATCTCCATACAACAGAAACAAACTGTATGTCGTCATGGCGACAACTTACCTCCTTTGGGCAGGGGTCTGGTGAAGACGCCGGAGATGGTGATGCACGTGCTGCCGTTCCCGCCGCACACCCTGCAGTTGTCCTCCCTGACGGGGGACCCCAATATTCCGTTACACCCCACCGTCTGCAACACCCACAAAGTGGAATTACAGCATCACGAACACCGGGTGTCCGCACAGTGGCATTGCAGCATCACGAACACCGGGTGTCCACACAGTGGCATTGCAGCCTCACGAACGCCGTGTGTCTGCAGTATAGTATTGTCTACGGGAATAATTGACATAGAAAAAACTCATTTAAGCTGTCAAAATATGTTTTCCTTCGTTATCTGTTTTTGGCCAGCCATTTTGAGTTGATACGCTAGCGTTAATACGTTAATACGAGTCAGAGACAACCGAGACAACTACTTTTTTCGCGCAGACTAAAAATAACCTGCGAATCAAGTTCAGCAATGTAGGCATTGGTTGACATTTCTTTTTTTACGCGTGTGTATACTAATGTCATAATTAAGGGTAAGAAAAATGTTTTGATATAACAATAGGTTGAAAATTCCGATGGAACCTGTCGCCTGTATGTGTACACTCAGCTGTACAAAACACACGATAATCACGAGATGCCGCTGGCAATGTTTCTAATGTATGGAAAGGTAGCTGGTCTACCTCTTGTTTGTAGAAACGTGTGATTTAAAAAAACAACTAAATTACTTAATGTATTTTACAGGTTTTGACGAATGGCCAGCCTTCAGAGAGAGGGAAATACCGCCAATTTTCTTCCGAGGCCTCAGATATGGCTTATAAAGGTTAACTTGATGGAATGTCGTTGAGGAAGGCTGCATGACCCCTCTCTGTTCCGTTTGCCATCTTGTGCCATCTGAAGTTCTGCCCATCAACATCAATTGAGGAGTGTCATTTAGTCATCCACGGTCACGCCATGGACGATTTCTGATATAGTAATTCTCGTATGGAGGTAGCCACTCTTTTGCCATTGATTTCGGCAAGCGATCCAAAGAAGACAAGAGATTGCCCATGCAGTGGTTTGATAATTTCATCAGCGTTGGTCAGATCACAACTGCGCTCCCTTGAACTTCAGTGTGCCATGTCTATGTCAAAGGAGACAGTCGGTCACAACTTCAAGGAACTTGAATAATCCTTGACAGGGATATGATCTACTGACACCATTATTCTGGATATATTGTAGTCGCTTAATTTGTACTGTTGAGGCACTAACCAGGAGTTTTAATAATGCATCGATAGGACAATTTCTAGGTGTTGCTGTAGAGGATTTAGTGACAAGCTGTGCACTCCTTAATGTTGTTGATGCAATACGTTTGGGTAGGTCAAGTCCAAAGCTATCCACCATTTTGGTGACATCAGCGTAATGATGATATGCTTTGTCTAAGAACTCTATAATAGTCGATTCGATTAAGTGAGGACGTATTGATGTGAGGTTTCAAAATTGGTGTTTTAAGTGACTTGGGTACAATACCACATTCCATGCTAAGATTAATGAATCTGGTGAGGTGAAATTGGGTTTAATGTCGCGTCCAAGATTATGACTGTTGCCGATTTATAGTGCTAGCCCACTGAGATAACATGCAGTTTAACATGAATACCCCACTCAGACACAGTATACTGAAAAGTACCATCTTTTAACGTATTTTGGTATGACGCGGCCGGGGATAAAACCCCGGACCTTACGCTCTCCGGACGTTCTACCATGGACCACGGAAGCGGTCGACCTCTGTTGAGTGTCCCATCAGTGAAGATGTGGTTGAAAACAAGGCCCTCAGGTTTTTGTGTGAGACAAAATGCTTTCCTCAAAATGTTCCGACGTTACTCGACCGATGATACTGTTAAAGTCATTCCTGGTTATAAGATTGCCTATGCATTTCAAGTTTAGTTTGACGCCAACGGCCAACGGCCAACGCCAAATATTAATAAACGTCAAGTTAACAGGCAAGATAATCCTTACATAACAGCACATGACATTGTTTCAAATGTGGTTGATCTGAGGTTTGTTTCAACATTGCCCTTTCTACATTGAAAATATGTTGAAATCCGACTGATTCAACGATGAAAAATATTCGAAAAACTCAACATTTCATAAAAACATTAATTCAACGAATTTGTATAAAAGCGATTTTGTAAATTTATAGTTGGTATCAATATATTTATAGAAGCGAAAATGATCTGATTATATAGTGTTGCATAACTGAATGAATCAATGCAAAGCATTTTCAACCAATATACAACTAAAATTCAAGATTTTTTCAACATTGATAACTGATGTAAATTCAACGCCGACATTTCAACTTCCAAAGGCAACTAGAATTAATGTCATTTCAACGTTGAAGCACGACATTTATTCAATATTGTTGTGCCTGCTCGTTCTATATCTATTCGTTCCTTCTCAGGACGCGGTCATGTTTCTTCGGTGACCAAAAACCGATTACGTGAGGATATATGAGAACATGCAAGTATTGGTGTTGGAAAAGACGCTCAGAATACTTTTAATACATAATCCAGCACAAGATCTCGCTTGAGTATCGGACTTTACTTTTCATAAAGTCTAAAAATGTAAGATTGTGATACAGAAAAATATTTCTACAAACGTCCACTATAAATGCCCACAAAAATGGTCCACTCACGTGACACTCTCCATCAATGCAAACGTCGAGTGTGTCCGAACTACACTTTGTGCCATCGATGACCTTTGAAGATCGTTCCGTGTAAAAGTTGTACCCTTCCGCCATACAGATCAGAGCGCAGGGTTTCACCTGCACTAAGAGCAGACAACTCTCTCAACAAACACATGCAGGATTCAAATACATAGATATGTGACATCACATAATATACAGCTGATAACATAACACTAGGCGGATATAAAACTTTGTTTTCGTCTCTTATCATCTTCCAGAGGCAAGGGAGTTAACTGACTATAAAAGTCCAGTTTCCACCCTTGCCGAATTAGGCTGGAATCCTGGAGTTATATTTTGACTGGACTAACGAGTCTATGCATAGTCGACATGGTGCTAAATGCCGTGCAGATTTCGGTCGATCTCGTGCTTTGCAAAGCATGGGTACCGCCAACTCGGCGTCAACAGATATTTTCCAATTCTTTATATGTTTTGAATGAAGGTGGTCACGTGATTTGATGCACTTTGCGAAGTAAGACCCGTTTCATTACAATGTTGATCTTGATTATCGATCAAAACGTCCCGACTGATACCGCTAGTTTGTTTGAAGCAAATGCAAGTGATATGAGAAGTGGAATCTGATTGGTTAATAGCGTGGATTTAGAAGGGACATAACTCGTAATGATCACTGATTGCACTACGATCTGGCCCAGAAATTCCAGCTTAGTTCGCCAAGGGTGGAAACTGGACTTTTACAGTCCGTTAACGCCCCTTCCTCGGGAAGATGGTTTATTATCGCATATAGAATAAAAACTGAAAATTATACGAAGATAAGGCTGCATATGAAGAGTGAGACTGTCAACTATAAACAAGCAACTTTAGTTGCAGGAAGACGAGCCTGTGAAGGGGACTGGCCAAGGGCAGCCTGGGGCTCTATTCACCTCCTGTGTACGGCTTCCAGTCGTAATGGCGGCCCCGGAACTCCACGGCGTTGAAGCTAGCGCACTGCACCTCCCTGAAGTCCGTGACGTTAGTCGGGCAGGGCTGTGGGGAGAGTGGACAAGTACAGCCAGTGAACAGAGGCAGACAGACATATACAGAGTACAGAGGTGTTGCATGACATTTACTTCTTTCTCACCTCGGTGTTACAGGACATACACTCTTAAGAAAAACGCACAGGTAGAGTTTTAGTAAATTTATTGTACCTAATAAAGTCGATATATTTAATTTAATATCATTGGTACAAATATGAAATTTTGGAGCTCGATAGTCACATGTTATCGTTGTACAAAGGTATTGAAGAAGAAGAAGAAGTCTTTATTTGTACCAAGGCCACTGGCCCATATACAATACATACATTTGAAATAGTGTGGTACATGAAAAAAGGTAATGTCAGGTACAAATTTACAGGTTTTTCATAATTACGTCTTCTTTCATAGCTGTAATACAGGTATTTACATAGTTTTCCAAGTAATTGTTTACACGAAGATGACAGTAGCGTTTTAAATTTATGCATATTTGGATTATGGCAAAATGTTGTTGGTAAATACAGGTGTCTAATATCGTTGTATTGAAAACTGTTCATTGTCATGTCACATAAGGCCACCAGGTTGCGCTGAACTCAGTATATCGTGCAGCAATCACGGCTCTGCATCTCCTCGGCACTGACTGGATAAGTGTACGAATTCTTTCCTGCGGAATTCTGCGCCATTCTGCTTGTAACGCGTTGGCCAGTTGTGGGAGTGTCTGCGGTGTGCTCCGACGTTGTCGTAACGTCGATCGAGTTCATACCAGAGGTGTTCGATTGGGTTGAGATCTCGAGACCTCGACGCCCAGGGCAAGACATTGATGTTAGCATTATGAAGGTAGTCTACCGTGACACAAGCTGTGTGCGGACATATTCTTCTTCCTAACTGGGTGTTACAGGACACATACTTCTTCCTTACGTGGGTGTTACACTACATATACTTCTTCCTTACCTGGGTGTTACAGGACATATACTTCTTCCTTACCTGGGTGTTACAGGACACATACTTCTTCCTTACCTGGGTGTTACAGGACATATACTTCTTCCTTACGTGGATGTTACACAACATATTCTTCTTCCTTACCTGGGTGTTACAGGACATATACTTCTTCCTTACGTTGAGGTTACACAACATATTCTTCTTCCTTACTGGGGTGTTACAGGACATATACTTCTTCCTTACGTGGATGTTACACTACATATACTTCTTCCTTACCTTGGTGTTACAGGACATATACTTCTTCCTTACCTGGGTGTTACAGGACATATACTTCTTCCTTACGTGGATGTTACACAACATATTCTTCTTCCTTACCTGGGTGTTACAGGACATATACTTCTTCCTTACCTGGGTGTTACAGGACATATACTTCTTCCTTACGTGGATGTTACACTACATATACTTCTTCCTTACGTGGATGTTACACTACATATACTTCTTCCTTACCTGGGTGTTACAGGACATATACTTCTTCCTCTTCCCCAGACAGTACTTTCCACCATGCTTCGGCCTGAAACATATAAGCTACCTAAAAAATGAGATGATACAGATAGGAATATTAACGGACTGCATAATTTGTTATCCTGAACTGTTTTTCAAATAATTTATACGCATCTGACGGACATAAAGAGTGGCAACTCACGCTGGGGTGTTGCACTCCCTCTGACTGGAGTTGACTCCGCCCCCACAGGTCCTTGAACACTCCCCCCAGTTCGACCACGCCCCCCATCCTCCGTTCACGGGTTTAGGTTTGTAGTTCGTGCTCTGGCAGCGTCCTCTGTAGCAGCGCTGTTGTGAACGACACAAACGTCAACGACATTACAAACATTGCAAGTAGTGATGGACGTGCGAGAGATTACTGGTGCAGTTGGCTCATTGCATCATAACCTCTCACCACTCAAGAGTTAATACCTGATTGATAATTTGTTGACAATAAAGTATATATTATTAACTACATTCATATTTCTACATATGTCACACCTAGCAGGATGCGAGTTTACAGGTGTGCTCAGGGAGTGGGCGTGGCCTTACCCCTGTTTTCTTGTGGGAGAGGAGGCACACCGTGCCCTCCGCCGCCGGGATGCTGTTGGTCACACACTGACCCTTGATGTCCGTACACCACAGCTCTCCACACACCAGCTGTAGCGGAGATAAATGGGTCATTCACCATTTGTAGCAGAGATAAATGGGTTATACACCAGCTGTAGCAGAGATAAATGGGTCATACATCAGGTACCACCAGACTAGCATCATCATACCATTCGTTACAGAGCACAATTAGCTTATCTACCAGGATCCACATGTTACCGTGACACGTCGTGACATAACATACTGTTTAAGGTGGCATTAAGACCCAAGACACTCAACCATCACGTGACACCTCCTTGCAGCAGGTGCGACCATTGCTCACCCGGATCTTGCAAGCATTGGCGTGAGCTCCGAACTGCAGCTTACACTGCCGGTGTGCTCCGATTGTCTCCCCGGGCAGCTCACGGGGGAACACGAACTCCCGCTTGATTGGCTTGTTCACCAGACACTGAGCTTGTCCTGAGCTGCAATAAAGCAGTCAAATGTCCTTCTGCATGGGCACACATATCGACATATTAATTAGGAGTGAAATACTTGCGGCACTGATACTCAACATATTTAGTTGGACTGAAAGACTTCTGGTACTGAAACTGGACATATTATGTAGGACTGAAAGGCTTCCGGTACTGAAACTCAACATATCAAGTAGTACTGAAAGACTTCCAGTACCGAAACTCGACATATCAAGTTGGACTGAAAGACTTCCGGTACTGAAACTCGACATATTAAGTAGGACTTAAAGACTTCCGGTACCGAAACTCGACATATCAAGTTGGACTGAAAGACTTCCGGTACTGAAACTCAACATATCAAGTAGTACTGAAAGACTTCCGGTACTGCATCTCAACATATCAAGTTGGACTGAAAGACTTCTGGTACTGAAACTCGACATATTAAGTGGTACTGAAAGACTTCCGGTACTGCAACTCGACATATCAAGTTGGACTGAAAGACTTCCGGTACTGAAACTCGACATATTTAGTGGTACTGAAGGACTTCCGGTACTGAAACTCGACATATCAAGTTGGACTGAAAGACTTCCGGTACTGAAACTCGACATATCAAGTTGGACTGAAAGACTTCCGGTACTGAAACTCAACATATTAAGTAGGACTGAAAGACTTCCAGTACTGAAACTCGACATATCAAGTTGGACTGAAAGACTTCCAGTTCCAAAACTCGACATATTAAGTAGGACTGAAAGACTTCCGGTACCGAAACTCGACATATTTAGTGGTACTGAAAGACTTCCGGTACTGAAACTCGACATATCAAGTTGGACTGAAAGACTTCCGGTACTGAAACTCGACATATTAAGTTGGACTGAAAGACTTCCAGTCCCAAAACTCGACATATTAAGTAGGACTGAAAGACTTCCTGTACTGAAACTCGACATTTCAAGTTGGACTGAAAGACTTCAAGTCCCAAAACTCGACATATCGAGTTGGACTGAAAGACTTCCAGTACCAAACTCAGCATATCAAGTTCGACTGGAAGACTTCTGGTACTGAAACTGGACATATTAAGTAGGACTGAAAGACTTCCGGTACTGAAACTCAACATATCAAGTAGTACTGAAAGACTTCCAGTACTGAAACTCAACATATCAAGTAGTACTGAGAGACTTCCGGTACCCAAACTCGACATATCAAGTAGTACTGAAAGACTTCCGGTACTGAAACTCAACATATCAAGTAGTACTGAAAGACTTCCGGTACTGAAACTCGACATATCAAGTTGGACTGAAAGACTTCCGGTACTGAAACTCGACATATCAAGTTGGACTGAAAGACTTCCGGTACCGAAACTCGACATATCAAGTTGGACTGAAAGACTTCCAGTACTGAAACTCGACATATTAAGTAGGACTGAAAGACTTCCGGTACTGAAACTCGACATATCAAGTTGGACTGAAAGACTTCCGGTACTGAAACTCGACATATCAAGTTGGACTGAAAGACTTCCGGTACTGAAACTCAACATATTTAGTAGGACTGAAAGACTTCCAGTACTGAAACTCGACATATCAAGTTGGACTGAAAGACTTCCGGTACTGAAACTCAACATATCAAGTAGTACTGAAAGACTTCCGGTACTGAAACTCAACATATTTAGTAGGACTGAAAGACTTCCAGTACTGAAACTCAACATATTTAGTAGGACTGAAAGACTTCCGGTACTGAAACTCGACATATCAAGTTGGACTGAAAGACTTCCGGTACTGAAACTCAACATATTTAGTAGGACTGAAAGACTTCCAGTACTGAAACTCGACATATCAAGTTGGACTGAAAGACTTCCGGTACTGAAACTCAACATATTTAGTAGGACTGAAAGACTTCCAGTACTGAAACTCGACATATCAAGTTGGACTGAAAGACTTCCAGTCCCAAAACTCGACATATTAAGTAGGACTGAAAGACTTCCAGTACTGAAACTCGACATATTAAGTAGGACTGAAAGACTTCCGGTACTGAAACTCGACATATCAAGTTGGACTGAAAGACTTCCGGTACTGAAACTCGACATATCAAGTTGGACTGAAAGACTTCCGGTACTGAAACTCAACATATTTAGTAGGACTGAAAGACTTCCAGTACTGAAACTCGACATATCAAGTTGGACTGAAAGACTTCCGGTACTGAAACTCAACATATTTAGTAGGACTGAAAGACTTCCAGTACTGAAACTCGACATATCAAGTTGGACTGAAAGACTTCCGGTACTGAAACTCAACATATTTAGTAGGACTGAAAGACTTCCGGTACTGAAACTCGACATATCAAGTTGGACTGAAAGACTTCCGGTACTGAGACTCGACATATCAAGTTGGACTGAAAGACTTCCGGTACTGAAACTCAACATATTTAGTAGGACTGAAAGACTTCCAGTACTGAAACTCGACATATCAAGTTGGACTGAAAGACTTCCAGTCCCAAAACTCGACATATTAAGTAGGACTGAAAGACTTCCGGTACCGAAACTCGACATATTTAGTGGTACTGAAAGACTTCCGGTACTGAAACTCGACATATCAAGTTGGACTGAAAGACTTCCGGTACTGAAACTCGACATATTAAGTTGGACTGAAAGACTTCCGGTACTGAAACTCAACATATTTAGTAGGACTGAAAGACTTCCAGTACTGAAACTCGACATATCAAGTTGGACTGAAAGACTTCCGGTACTGAAACTCAACATATTTAGTAGGACTGAAAGACTTCCGGTACTGAAACTCGACATATCAAGTTGGACTGAAAGACTTCCGGTACTGAGACTCGACATATCAAGTTGGACTGAAAGACTTCCGGTACTGAAACTCAACATATTTAGTAGGACTGAAAGACTTCCAGTACTGAAACTCGACATATCAAGTTGGACTGAAAGACTTCCAGTCCCAAAACTCGACATATTTAGTAGGACTGAAAGACTTCCGGTACTGAAACTCGTCATATCAAGTTGGACTGAAAGACTTCCGGTACTGAAACTCAACATATTTAGTAGGACTGAAAGACTTCCAGTACTGAAACTCGACATATCAAGTTGGACTGAAAGACTTCCGGTACTGAAACTCAACATATTTAGTAGGACTGAAAGACTTCCAGTACTGAAACTCGACATATCAAGTTGGACTGAAAGACTTCCAGTCCCAAAACTCGACATATTAAGTAGGACTGAAAGACTTCCAGTACTGAAACTCGACATATTAAGTAGGACTGAAAGACTTCCGGTACTGAAACTCGACATATCAAGTTGGACTGAAAGACTTCCGGTACTGAAACTCGACATATCAAGTTGGACTGAAAGACTTCCGGTACTGAAACTCAACATATTAAGTAGGACTGAAAGACTTCCAGTACTGAAACTCGACATATCAAGTTGGACTGAAAGACTTCCGGTACTGAAACTCAACATATTTAGTAGGACTGAAAGACTTCCAGTACTGAAACTCGACATATCAAGTTGGACTGAAAGACTTCCGGTACTGAAACTCAACATATTTAGTAGGACTGAAAGACTTCCAGTACTGAAACTCGACATATCAAGTTGGACTGAAAGACTTCCGGTACTGAAACTCAACATATTTAGTAGGACTGAAAGACTTCCAGTACTGAAACTCAACATATCAAGTAGGACTGAAAGACTTCCGGTACTGAAACTCGACATATCAAGTTGGACTGAAAGACTTCCGGTACCGAAACTCGACATATCAAGTTGGACTGAAAGACTTCCAGTACTGAAACTCGACATATTAAGTAGGACTGAAAGACTTCCGGTACTGAAACTCGACATATCAAGTTTGACTGAAAGACTTCCGGTACTGAAACTCGACATATCAAGTTGGACTGAAAGACTTCCGGTACTGAAACTCAACATATTTAGTAGGACTGAAAGACTTCCAGTACTGAAACTCGACATATCAAGTTGGACTGAAAGACTTCCGGTACTGAAACTCAACATATTTAGTAGGACTGAAAGACTTCCGGTACTGAAACTCGACATATCAAGTTGGACTGAAAGACTTCCGGTACTGAGACTCGACATATCAAGTTGGACTGAAAGACTTCCGGTACTGAAACTCAACATATTTAGTAGGACTGAAAGACTTCCAGTACTGAAACTCGACATATCAAGTTGGACTGAAAGACTTCCAGTCCCAAAACTCGACATATTAAGTAGGACTGAAAGACTTCCGGTACCGAAACTCGACATATTTAGTGGTACTGAAAGACTTCCGGTACTGAAACTCGACATATCAAGTTGGACTGAAAGACTTCCGGTACTGAAACTCGACATATTAAGTTGGACTGAAAGACTTCCGGTACTGAAACTCAACATATTTAGTAGGACTGAAAGACTTCCAGTACTGAAACTCGACATATCAAGTTGGACTGAAAGACTTCCGGTACTGAAACTCAACATATTTAGTAGGACTGAAAGACTTCCGGTACTGAAACTCGACATATCAAGTTGGACTGAAAGACTTCCGGTACTGAGACTCGACATATCAAGTTGGACTGAAAGACTTCCGGTACTGAAACTCAACATATTTAGTAGGACTGAAAGACTTCCAGTACTGAAACTCGACATATCAAGTTGGACTGAAAGACTTCCAGTCCCAAAACTCGACATATTAAGTAGGACTGAAAGACTTCCGGTACCGAAACTCGACATATTTAGTGGTACTGAAAGACTTCCGGTACTGAAACTCGACATATCAAGTTGGACTGAAAGACTTCCGGTACTGAAACTCGACATATTAAGTTGGACTGAAAGACTTCCAGTCCCAAAACTCCAGTCCCAAAACTCGACATATTAAGTAGGACTGAAAGACTTCCTGTACTGAAACTCGACATTTCAAGTTGGACTGAAAGACTTCAAGTCCCAAAACTCGACATATCGAGTTGGACTGAAAGACTTCCAGTACCAAACTCAGCATATCAAGTTCGACTGGAAGACTTCT